GGAAATCGTAAAATTTTACGGCTTTCCTGGCGAAGTCGTCGTGCGCACCCGGACCGCTGTAGTCAATATGACTACATGTCTATGTAGTCAAAGCAACATGAATGTTGTATTCCGTAAATTCATCTCCGATAAATATTTGCTTCTCGTTACGCTTGAATGACGATATGAGATCACACTTGAATGTTTGGTCAGAAATGAATCAACACAAAATCGATTTTTTTTTACCTTTTGTTGCTCCTAACAAATCTTATTGAATTTATCAATATTTCGACGTCCGCCATCTTTTTCTTTCGTTTGACTTTACAAAATAAGTTTTAAAATCATCTGGAATGGAAACATACATTCACGCATCTTCTGCATCGATTATCGTAAAGCTCATATTCACGTCGTATAAAAATATTTTTTCTCAACTTGAAGACGGAACGTTTGCACAAAATTTTGCTGACTCATGTGTTTTTATTCACTAAACTTCCCTGTCATTGCAGTCAAACCTGACGGCAGCTTCTGAATTTACAGATTCAGTTTTAATGCACGTCATTTAGTGCACTCAGAAAGATGAATGGGTCGTATTGTAAGAAATAGTAACGCACTTTCTAACTCGCAGTTGGAGCACTGAAATACTTTAGCCGGGCTAAACTGAGTCAGGCTGACCCACACTATGGCGTAAAGTGCATCGCTTTTTCGACAAAAAAGCCTCGCTCATATCTCTGAGTGTGCTGGTGATCACTGGTGCGAATGTTTTCCTTTTAGTATCATGATTCTTCCTTAGTATCATTATTACTCTGGCCATTATATCTAATGGTTATCAAGTGTATATTGTCGCGGAATATTTCTTTTTATGTTCTGGAAAGTTAGGATTTCGTGTTCGATAATATGAAAATTAGGTGAATTTTAATAAGTCATTTGAATTCTGCCTCAAATATTTTTTAGCTTTCCCGATGAAAAGAGGAAAAAATGAAATCATTTTGTTATTAATATATTTGATCGGAATGCGAATTTCCGTGGCTCATTTCACTCGGGTTGCTCTCACTCATTATTGACTATTAATAAAAGATAATTTGATGAACTAATATTAAAAATCAACCCAAATTTTCGTAAACTTCTCAAAGCACCAAATGAACAATGCATATTTTTTATTCAACTTCCTTATTTGGGCAAAATTTCTTCAACAACCTAGTCCATGAAAATATTGTTGGGGCCAGTGAAACCTTCGAGCAGAGCACAAGAGCTATCGTTGAAAAAATTCAGCTGGTGTGAATATCGTAAATTATTTTATTGACTTGAAAAAATAACATCGCGACCTGAAAGTTTCAGTGGCAGCTACTTTTTCTCAACGCTATTTCGTATTTTTTGTTTCCAACTTTCACTTGATTTCCCTTGAACTCGAGAGCGATGGTTTTTGTGGGCATTTGTGGTAGATTTTTACTGTTTCTCTGTGGATTTTTTGCTAGTGTTAGATTTTTAATATTAACTGTGGATTTTTTTTATGGTGGATTTTCACTATTCACCGTGGATATTTTTTGTTGGTGGTCGATTTTTACTGTCCTCCGTTGATTTTTTTTCGTGGTTGAATCTTACTATCCTCCGTGGATTTTTTCGTGCTGGATTTTTACTATTCGCCGTGGAAATTTTTGTTCGTGGCAGATTTTTACTGTTCTCCGTGGATTTTTTCGTGCTGGATTTTTACTATTCGCCGTGGATTAATTTTTCGTGCTGGATTTTTACTATTTGCCGTGGATATTAATCTTTGTTCGTGGTGGATTTCACTGTTCTCCGAGCATTTTTTTTCGTCCAAGTCCATATAGAATATGTACGAGATGTACATTTAAGAAAAAATTTGCAGTTTATTATTTTATTTCTCATAGTATATTTTATGTTTGTCTCAATTTATCTGCATTTTGGGCAAAATGTTACTGTCGTAAATGGCGGTTACTATTCTTAAGTGAGGTTATTGTTGATTTTGTAACTATAAAAAAACTTAATTTTCACAAAATATAGTTCTGATACATTTTATAGTTCAAGCCAAACATCCTGCTTTTCGCAATGTCAGATGACTTACAGAACCATTCGAGAACAAGTTGTTTATTTGACTTGCAGAACTATTCAAGGACTGGTTAACAGGTTTCTGTAGGCGAGAACTGTCTGGTTGCCTTACAGAACCAGACGAGAACTGGTTGTCTGGTTGGCTTACAGAACGATGCTAGAACTTTTGTCTGGTTGGCATACAGTACCAGGCAAGAACTTGCTGTCTGGTTTTCATACAGAACCATGCGTAGACTGATTGGCTTACAGAGCCAGTCATGATCTGGTTGACTTACAGAACCAGTCAAGAACTGGTTGACTTACACAACCGGTCAAGATCTGGTAGACTTACAGAACCAGTCAAGAACCGGCTGGCATACAGAACCAGTCAAGAACTGGTTGACTTACAGAACCAGTCAGGAACTGGCTGGCATACAGAACCAGTCAAGAACTGATTGACTTACAGAACCAGTCGAGAACTGGTTGACTTGCAGAACCAGTCAAGAACTGGTTGGCATACAGAACCAGTCAAGAACTTGCTGACTTACAGAACCAGTCAAGATCTGGCTGACTTACAGAACCAGTCAAGATCTGGCTGACTTACAGAACCAGTCCAGAACTTGCTGACTTACAGAACCAGTCCAGAACTGGCTGGCTTACAGAACCAGTCCAGAACTGGTAGTCTGGTGGTAAGCACGCAGTTCAGCGACCTCAGCGGCGCAGTGGCTGTGGTCACGGCCAGAACGCGCAAGTCACGCTCGTAATGAGCGGAGCTTCTTGTACGCGCCGGCGCCTCGAACGCTTTAACGCCCACCGTCTTCAAAAATTACATTTAGCCTTTTTCTGGATTTTCTTTCCTGAAAAATTTATTTGCTTCGAAATTTTAATGTTCCACCGCCCTCAAAAATTAGATTTAGGATTTTTCTGGATTTCCTTTCTGAACAAATTTATTTGCTTCGAAATTTTAATGTTCCACCGCCCTCAGAAATTAAATTTAGGATTTTTCTGGATTTTCTTTCCTGAAAAATTTATCTGCTTCGAAATTTTAATGATCCACCGCCCTCAGAAATTAAATTTAGGATTTTTCTGGATTTTCTTTCCTGAAAAATTTATCTGCTTCGAAATTTTAATGTTCCACCGCCCTCAGAAATTACATTTAGGATTTTTCTGGATTTTCCTTCCTGAAAAATGTATCTGCTTCAAAATTTTAAAGTTCCATCGCCTTCAAAAATTACATTTAGGATTTTTTTGGATTTTCCTTCCTGAAAAAATGATCTGCTTCGAAATTTTAAAGTTCAACCGCCCTCACAAATTAGATTTAGGATTCCTGATTTTGTTTTCAAATTTTTGTTGATGCCGGTTCTATTTTCGAAGCGACTTAGAGAGTAGCTTAGCAAGTTTCTGAAGTTATATTTCATCCCCGGCCTGATGATTGAACGTTAGATTGTTTTCCTAATAAATAAAGATTGCAGTCGATTGCCCGCGAATGGGCTCAAGTTAGTGCCATTTATTTTTTCCGATCATAAAACGGGGGCTTAAAATCAGGTCTTGTGCGAGTTATCGCGTAGAGTTCATTTTTTTATTCACTTTAAAGATGATGAATTTAATGAGAAATTAAGGACAAGCAGAAATAATTTATTCTCTTTTAATTCACATTCATCAAACACAAAACTTACAACCCAACGCTTGTGTTATGCTGGACATCGTAACGGAGTATGAACTACATTACCCATTAAATATGTCTTGATTTATAGGAATGAAAGCAACACTCAGAAGAATTAATGGATCATGATGTCTATATAGTGACACACTCTCGCACCCTCATCGCTGGCAGATAGCGGACGTAGCACTGATACGCCATTTTGTCGTGCCAAACTGGCTCAGGATGACCCATACGAGGGCAAAAAATTTATCGCTATTTGGACAAAGCTCCACGCATTTCTCAGAGTGAAGGCTTGGATACAGTGCCGTACACCATCAGAAAAACTTGTCTGTTCTAAGAACTGTCACCACAGATTGCGCTGAAAACAGGTTACCGACATGCCTGCCTCTCAAGAACCTGCTGCACGGTGCCATTCAACCCATTGCTTGGGGTTCTCTTGAACCACACGAGTATTCTCGAAGATTTTGCTCCAGAACATGGGATTCTGTTCTTGAACTCACGATTATTTTGCGGAACTCTAGAGATTCTCTTGCTGAATTCGACTTTTATGTTGATTTTATGTTGATTCGACTACGATTATTTTGCTGAACTCCATGCAGAGATTCTGTTATTGAAATTTACTTTTCTGTTGCTAAACTCGAAGTTTCTGTTGCTGATGGTAAAGTTTCTGTTACTGAACTCTATGTTTTGTCATCTTACGATTAGGGCTACGATACAATAAATCTTATTAAAATTGATTTAGTGCATATTTCATTATTTTAAGTTATAAACTTATCAGTTTTTTTGCAATGAATCATAAATAAGCGATAACTCATGTGCTCTAGTATACAACTTTATTTATTCAATTTTATTCATTCTCAATCGGCTCCAAAATAATGGCTGCTAACCGTGAACATATAATATAATATTTGAATAATTTGAATATTTTAATATTCGATAATAATATTTGAATTTATTCTGCTTGTCGCATCTGCCAAATCTAACTGTCACTTGTAGACTTGATATTTTTGAATCGTGTAAGAAAATAACCCAACTAGTGATAAGTAATTACTAGCAAATGATAGAAACCTTTTACTTTTTCACTAACTCTTCATTATTTGTTTTTAAAATGTGTCGTTGAATTCTCAAATTTCGCTTATGTCGAAAAGTCTTTCCGGACATTTTCTTCAATAAGTGAAAAATAATACTATGAAAAGTGTGCTAATAGCTTTTGCTGCCACTTCTTGCAAAAAGAGTTCGCTCTTAATTAAAGGTGCGGTTATTCATCTTATATAATAACCTCACGATTTCCCAATTATCAATTTCCATCTTTAATTCTATTTCTTACTTTTTCCAGGTCACGTTTTCAAAAATCCCGAACAAATTATGGTGAAGCTCGAGCCTGGAATAATGTGAGTACAACCTTCGCTTTCAGATTACTTATAACTTTATTTTTCTTGAATTTGGCCAACCTGCATATTCTAATCATGGTTATATATGTTATATTATATGTTTAAAATAGTTTCACCTTTTTTCCATCGCTACATCCCAGTGCTAAACCTGGAATGTTTAAAGAATAAGTAGAAATGCTAATTTTGCTCGAAAACAATATTGCGTCAACTTTCAAGTGTCTGTACTCGGCAAGATCAGAAAAAAATATAACTCAGTACTCACTGCAGTGAGTGACAGAGAGCGCATTTTCTCGTCGACGAAAACATGAAGTCACGGACGGACAGACGGACATGGCGAGCACAATAGTGCATTTTTTCCATAAATGAGAAATGCTCTAAAAAGAGTGCGGCAACAGCCACACCCCCAAATCAAAAAAGTGTGAAGTCAAGTCAAAAGGTGTATCAAGAATTGGCTGGGTCGTCTGTACGATTTAACTCTGAAGTTTAAACTCCCGTTTCAAAAAGTCGACGAATTTCTCAATCCGCTGTGACCTACAACACTTCTTCATTATCATTCAAATGCTAACAAAAAAGTCTATTCGTCATCAATATTTATTTCTGTCCTGAGGGAAAAATAATAATTCGAATTTTAGTTCAGGATCCAATGTTGTTCAAGATAATAGCGGATAATCGTATAATCGTATACAAATTGCGCCTGATATATATCATATTCAACAAGAACTATTTGAGAGAATGATAACATATAAAGGCAACACACGCGTCTGCATAACTATCAGTGAAATAATGTTTTCTCAAGTATGCAATTAATACGTTGCACGTGAAATAATATATTTCCTTCCTTAGTTGATTCTTTTCTATAGTCTGGTACTTAAATCTACGTTTTACTTTCAAAATTATCCTTTTCACTTCATTATCATTATTTTGAATAGAAACATCATATCTTTAAATTATTCGATGAATTTATTTTTCTTTCACTGTCATATATGACGAAGTAAATCGATGCGTTGTTCACAGAATATCCATTTCCACTTTCTGTCAAGCGACATTTTCAGGATCGAATTATTCACCATCCTTTCTTTCCTTATATTTTGTCTCGATCATTACTCTTTTTCGCCAACTTTCTTTCCTTATATTTTGTCTCGATCATTACTCTTTTTCGCCAACTTTCTTTCCTTATATTTTTCTCGATCAATACTTTTTTTTCACCAACTTTCTTTCCTTATATTTTGTCTCGATCAATACTTTTTTTTCGCCAACTTTCTTTCCTTATATTTTGTCTCGATCAATACTTTTTTTTCGCCAACTTTCTTTCCTTATATTTTGTCTCGATCAATACTTTTTTTTCGCCAATCCTCATTGACTTCGACTTGAGGAAAAACGGTGGCTTAATTGTACGTACATCCTTGCGCGGCTTGCACATCCTGTTGGCGCTTACCGGGCGAGAACAACGCTGTACACTCAGAGAAATAAGCAGGACTTTGTCCACATAACGATCCTTGGTCTTGTTTGAGTCACCCTCGCCCAGTTTAGCGAGCGGTCGTTTTGTCATCTTACTAATATAAGATGGGGCGACGATACAATGCATCTTAAAATTGTTTATTTAGTGCGTATTTCGTTATTTTAGGTTATAAACTCGTCAAACTAAATGACGTATCTGTGCTACGAGCAGAAAGTGTGTCGCTATATATGGACAATAAGACCGATTCCTTTTTCTGTGTAGAACAAGATTCTCCTTGTTCGATCGTCACCTATCGAACAACGTCTCTAATGGAGTCTTTATTCTAAGATAGCCTTAAAACTATTTTTATAACGTCTAGTTTAGTTTTTCTGGTATCCGTATGGGGATGCGCAGTGAATTGTTCACATTATAAAACATTAGTTTACTCGTCCCAGTATCACTATGACAATATAATAAACCAGCATACCGCAATATCATTGTAAATATCTCAAATATAATTGTAATTATATAACATATAATTGTAATTATATTAATCACAATACTAGTTCGCCAATCTCATTCAAGATCAAAGTACATGGGAAAACGGTACAGGTTTTTTTGAGAATCGGACAAGCCTTGAGACTGGACCTGACCACGCCCATGTTCACCCGGTCACTGACCCCCAAACTTGCATGTATAAGCATACACGTGCTCTCAGAGCTAGCACTCAGAGAAACGAATGGGTCAAATACTGTCCACATATATAGTGACACATATTCTTACAACAGCCCGAGCAGGGAAACTCATATATACGTACATGGAGCCAGACTGAATCTGGATAACCAACAGAAGGGTAAAATAAGGATCGCTTCTTGGACCATTGCCACTCATTTTTTTAGTGCTCTTGATATGCATTTCTAGGTTCATGGTCATTTGTCCATCATAAATTCAGGTACTCCTAACCCCGAGAAGTGATATTCTATCTCCCGTTTTAATGAGAATTTGTTGCTGCTACAAAAATTCGGCGACTAGTTCAATTTTCTCTCGTATTTGAATAATAATGATATTTCGATTAATAATGAGCGATTCAAGCACAGTTTAGTAAAGTTGATCGAACTACAGTACGATGCCGGTGAGGGTACATTTTATTTTTCAATTTTAATTTTTAATCAAGGCGTTATTAGGTGACCGATGTGACCATAAGAGAATATAAGAATGATTTTTAATGTTCCCCTTTACCACATTTCACTGGTAAATTTGAGCTACATGGAAAATTTTTTCACTGTGAATGGAATGTTTAATAGCACGAGAATCCGAACTGTTCACATACCGTGACCTCTGGCTTCTTAATCTCTAGCAGTCTAGCGCATGAAATTTTGTTTATAAAAATACAAAAAAAATTTCATGCCGCGTCGATCAGATAAGAATGGTTTCTTAAAATAAACCTTTCAATTGTTATTTTTTGTCTGATATTTTTGATATTTTTTCCTGCGCATTTAATTTCATCTTCAAAACGAATTGCAAATCAACTTTTGAGTCAAAATTACATATTATATTTTTATTAGTTCCTCATTGATTGGGTCCATCATAACTAAAGGGAATTGTATCCTATTTATGCGTGCCAGAGCTTGTATGTTTATGGTACGCCGTTTTTGGCACAACGTAATTGGGGATATTCGTCGCATTTTATTAATGATTAATGAACAACATAGGAAAATGTAAATTATTTTAGTCAGCGTGCGAGTGAGCTTCTTTGAATTATAGTTGGGAAGTTTCTTTATTTATATATCATTCACATTCGAGGATATTTCGTAGAAGAGCACAGTTCTGAATAGTGTTATACTCGTACTTTTCGCCATTGAAGTCTAGCTAGCTGTACATGCCCGTGATTTAGCGCAACGTAATTCTAACATTTTCTATAGTTTACCAGTAGCTCGTTTTCTGCGGATCGATTTTTGATCATTTTCTATTGTCCAGAAGCAAATTTCATGAGGTACGCTGACAGATGTAAAGATATACGAAAATGTCGAACTCGATTCAATCTCAAAATTGTTTCCTTATTTTTTGTCTTGATTTATTTCTCTCCCAGAATACGTCAAGCTTTTTCACATTGTTTACTCAATTTATTTTTATTTTTAGTTGAATAAGGTTTCCTCTCGTTTAATTAAGCGGATCGCAACATTTCATTAAGCCAAGCAGGCGTCGGACAAATTTACGGCCGAACACGCGGCCGGTACCACGGCCACTTTCCAAATTCAATTCAACCAAGAAATATTTCCCAAAGTAAACTTCGATTTCGATATTTTTTATTTGGGAACAGTAAAAATCGACGCTCGATGAAACTTGGTACACGTATTCATTATGACCTAACGGTGGGTGATTTTTAGCTCATGAAAAATTGTCTATTTCACCTTCATTCGTGAATTATATGACAATTCGTGCAGAAATTTGCAGTGACCAAGAAATTCCTATTAAACTACTGAATAGATTTGAAAGAAACTTTGATTATATATTCCTAACCTTCCTACGATGATGTTCAGGAGCCCGTGAAAGTTTTTTCGGTTTTACCTTCATTTGCGATTTTTTCCCTATCTCACCTTCTTTCGTGAGTAATAGAGCAATTTGGGCTGAAATTTGCACTGAATTTGGATATTGGCCGCGTGTCCGGCCGTAAATTTGTCCAAGACGTGCCTAGTCTGCACCCGGGGCCCAGACAAATTTGTACAGTTGTTTCGTATTTGTTCATAGTGACAGATAAATAAGTCTACCGAGTATTTATTACGTAAATTAAAGTTCACTTTCATCAAAAATCCATTAAATTGGCTCTTGGATCCTGACTTGACCAATGCTAGATATTTCGTTCCATCTGTTCAAGCTGAAATATTACACCGAACGAGAATAAACGAGTTCAAACCGTGTGACGGGCAGTCGCACATAAGATACCAAATATTGTGTACAGTTACTATTTGCTGTTAAGAATGGATTATTCAAAGTAATGTTCTTTTCTTTTTAATGCGGTTGTGCAATAAATTTTACGAATGGAATTGTGTTACTGGCAACACTAGTAAGGCGTTGAGGGGTAGGAACTGACTGAGCCGCGTGCTTCCTCTCCCCTAAAGCCCCACTCCCCAGAGCTTCCCAGTTCACTACTCCCCAGCAATAAATTCAGCATTTGTTCAGTTTACTTCGTGATGCGTGACGTTGAGGTTGAAGCGTCAGAAATGTCAGGTTTTATAACTTTGGTTTGAATATCATGATATGGCAATTAAATTTGAGAACAAGCGGTGGGTATTCTTCTCAGTTTATTATTTGTTCGGGATAGAGAGTGTTAGAATTTCAATATTCATAGTGATCAATAATGTTATGAGCCTATGAAGTCGCCTGGTGTGTTTTATTGATTGAGAAAATTCAGGGTTTCAATGTTCCAATCCAAAGCTTGCGGAAATGCCATTGTACTATTTATATTGCTGTGACAAACTAAGTTAGGTAACTAGTGGAAAATTTACGGCTCCAGGTATCACCATACTCCAGTAATTGTAAATTTATGCATATTTTGGTATTTAAATGTAACCATTGCTAGCGTTTAGAATTAGCTAGATACATAACCAACGCTTACGTACCGTCACTTACGAAATATTCGACTCCGGCTGTGATGAATTTGATTACAATTAGCTAAGTAGTAATTAGGTAGGACTCTTACTCGTAGGACTTTTACCATCAATAACACATCAGTCGCCACTCAGCAGTTGGTACTGCATTTAATCCGCCGCTCTTCAATAAAAACAGCACAATTCTGGTCAGAATTGTTTTGTAGGTTAAGTTGACCACATAATAACTAAGAACCTTTTTTTGATCGCGCTAGAATCCTGGGGCTCAGTCTAGAGAATCCTGGGGAATCCTGGCTAGAATCCTGGGGCTCAAAGTCGATCATTTCTCCGACATAGGTAAGTGGAGGGCGGTGGCGAAGTTGGTGACATTGACGGTAGTTAACGAGCCAAACCAGTTCGTGATCGTAAGTCGTCGCTCCTGCAAAATATCTCCTGCAGGAATCACTTGAAACGGAACAAACACTCCGCGAAACGATCTTTCTTTACTGAAAAAAATTGCGATATTCCATTAAGGCTGGCGCCATCGCTGTTCGAACTTGGTGTGACAGCTTGACATCAATGATAATAATTCGTTTATAATTGCGCAAACTGCTTCATCGTTGCGCAGTTCTAGGCTGACAAGTTGCAATGTGCGGGAAATCTAGTTATGCTGTCGCATGCGTGGTCAGCCGCTAGGGTTATTGTGTTCTCCTTACAAGTCTAACCTCAAGGCGACCACGTAGGTCGAAACAGCTGAGACTGAATTGGAAAACTAAAACGGGATAAATTGAATGTCACTCATCAGCGGATGAAGTGGCGCAGTACCTAGATTCGTGATATTTTTTTGGCGTTATTCATTGTGATGATGAATTTGTCATGTGTACGTCAGCTCTCTTTGTCTTTAGAATCAATCTCAACTATTCATGTATTGTAATTTCGTTAATATTTAGAATTTAATTTTGGTCCGTCAGAGGCGTCAGTTCCCGTTTGCTACTCATCCCATTCCTACATGTTTACCCCCAGCATCTTATTGATAATAATATACCATGTTTCTCAAATTATGATTTTTTACCAATTGGACTTTTTTGTGTTGGTTAGTTAAAAAATATTTTCAACCCACAACGTTAGTGATTTTGTGGAAACGTTATTCTAATTGACGTACAAGTACAACTGCTGTCGTGACGCAAGCCTCTGGCTGACAGCTTAATAAAATGGTCAAGTTCAATCAACGCTAAATTAATCGTTAATAGGCGTAATAACGCATTTTTTAGAATTTTTAACTTTTCTGCGGCTTATTTGATAGGATTGAGAGGGAAAAGTATTAAGATTGACCAAACAGGCTTTTCCTGGCTGCCGGCTGGGAAAATCCAAGAAAATCAGTTTAGCTACTTAATATTCTAACGTCGTGTCATCGCTTGCACCTGTCGTTTTGTGGACTTGAAGTAGCTTAGAAATTTTTACCTATTGAATGAGTCATGCGATTTTTATTATTGTGAATGATCTGCAGCCAATAATGAGGTTGAATTAGTCCATCAATGTTCCAATATTTTTTTATTATAAGTGGACTTGGAATGTCAAAGTATCCTGGATAAGACGTGCAGAAATATGCTTTTGCTTGAATACTGATATTGTTTGGTGTCGATAATGTTAGTGGCAGTTGTAATAATTTTGATGTTCTAATAACCTCGATTATTATATATTTGTGTGTGTATAATTCATTTAATTCAGTGTATAATTCATCCATTTCTCGCCCGCAGCGCCAAAGGAGAGGAGGTTGACAACGGCTGCGTGGTGCGAGCGCGCGGATTGCCATGGATGAGCTCGGAGGGAGAGATCGCTAAGTTCTTCAGAGGCCTCAACGTCGCCAAGTGAGTCAAACGTTATTTTTTCAACATTTTAGTCGTAGCACCGTTGACAATTAGCCTGTATATGCTAATAATCAATTTATGTCATTTCAATACCAAGGCAAGAGTTGTGGGTGCCAATCTCCGGCATTACGGCTAAACTAATTTCTAAGGCAGTGAAAATATCATCTGTAATATTATCATCATAATATTTTGAAGCTCTGGGTGTATAAATTTTTTTATGTATCAACATAAGCAATTACGTGGTAGTAGAAAGCTTCGTGATTGACGGTATTTTTGGGTGGTTATGTTCGCACGGATCGCGCCTATCTAAACTCGTTTTCTTATTGTCTTCCATCAAAAATCGTTTTCTACAAAGAAATAAACCTCATTAAGCATTTTAGTTTTTGAGCGAAACTACTTTAATCTTGGAATGACCTTTATCAGAAAACTTTGACTTCCGGCAGAAAGAAAGCAAGAAAAATTCACTGATAAAAAACAATACTGTCAAATGTTTTCATATTGTACATTTCTCTTAATTCAGTTACAATGGTATTTTCACTGTGATGAATTTTGTTTATGATGAATGAAACATTTGACATGGAAAGTGTTACCCTTTCGTCTCTACGTAACCTTTACGGTAGTCCTTTACTCATTTTCCTGTGAGTACTAACTACTCTATGGAATTAAGTGTAGTTAGCCGACTTAATCATCAAACATGGACGTTGGTGCCACAGTACCTACACACATTTGTTGAGATAAATGTGTGAAATTTCAACTTAACAGTCTTCTATTATTCATTATAATTTTCTTTTCATTGGTCATTTATTTCCGCACTTTAAATAAACAATGATTCCACTGCTGGAATTTACGGAAATAAAAATTAAATCTTTGCTGTCAAAACCCCATGCCGTTATCATCGGTTATGTTATAAATTTCTGAATAACAGATGTAGAAAAGCTTGAGATAAAGAAGCCACGAATTTGACATACAAGTTCTTTCAAACGAAACTGTTTCTAAGTTCATTAATCGAGTCATGGTCTTGGTGTGCATTTTCAAAATCTCAATGCGTAAAGGGCTTTCCATGTTAACGATCGTGTTATGCATCTAAAAATAAATTAAATTATTGTTGGAGATAGTATATATCAATAATTTATTTTCGCTTTGAAATTATCATAGAAACTCGCTGTGTGGTGATTTATATTTGGCATTTTTATGCGATGCTCATAACGAACATCGTTTCTACTAAGTTAACACTTGCTCCTTAGATGTGGACTTCATATCTAAAAGTGTATATACGTACCTGTGGCTATGCCAAAAGCCTTCTAAATTTCGAAAAAATGTGCCGGAAAGTAAATGTGCTGACAATTATGGCATAATTGAAATGACCGAGTGGCTGTGCACCACCTACCGGGGTTACGGTCTTCGAAATCAACCTTAATATATGATAAGACTTTGATGCCAAATGAACAATATCATAGTTCATTAATTAATATTCTTGTTGTGTCTTCCGACTGCACGTGGCTTGTTCCAGGTATGAAGGCTTTCGCGCGTCGCATATGCATTGTTTATCAAACAACGATGTCGTTGTCGACACAGCCGCTGCTTGAACAATCTCAGTTCTCAGTGTGTGAGGTGTAGGCCTAAGAGTATGAGGTGTGTGCTGATCTTGTTCTCAATTTTGCTAATAATGCATCGCAATTGCATTAAATGTGTTTCAGGAATTAAATTTAATTTCCCAATTTGAATGGTATCGGCTGCTGATGTTTGTTTGTGGTCTGACAATTCGCAGCTACTCTGGTCGAGTCGAATTGTCGGGTCGGGTCACTTGCAAAAAAAAATTGTCATATGCTCCTAAGTCCTCGACGCAAGTACATCGTCCAAAATGTCGAAGTCACTTTAACATGTTTTATTTTTAATCCGAGAAGCTGCTCATGGCAAAAAAATCCCATGAATATGTTAGTATCCAGGTTTTTCATGTTCCGCTTTGCTTTTTGCAAGCCATGTTCAAGATATTCCGTTTGACCTCTAAAAAGTTGTTAAAAGACCCATTTTCTCTCACTTTTTATAATTTGAAAATGATGCATTTTAATAGCCCGTCTGTAAAGAATAATGAGTGTGATTCTGTGTTACAAAAAAATTAAAAATTAAATTAAATTCAATCGTCAGCTATAGAAAGATCGGGTTCCAAAGGCCGGATCCCTTGTGAATCAAGTCACGAAAAGTTCAAGAATCGGCAACAGGCCATGGGCCTATTTCTTCAACGCCGACACTTCTATTCTATTCTATTAAAGATGAGCAATGTATGGTTTTCTCCTTTTGATATTCGAGTTATTGAAGGCATCTTAGAATGGAAGGGAACACTGTTGTTATTTGACGCTATAGATTCAGACTAAAAATTACGAGTTCATCAAAAATTGTGAGCTTTTAAGACGTTTACGTCACTAGTTTGGTTGGCTTTTTTTATCAAAATGTAATTTTTTCAACTGTGTATTTTGCATACAGTTTACAAACCGTTTGATTTTGTTAAGAAAATTTAGGCTAAGGGTCATGGAAAGCTTCAAAAAGCATCCTTTCACGTACGTTCCGTTATTTAACGGAATAAATCTGAATGGATTTATTCGCTTGTTCCATAATATCTAAATTGATTTGAAAAATTTATATCATAAAATGATGAATTGACGTGCAAAATTTAAGCGATTCATCAATATTTATTACATTAAAATAATTTTTCAGTATTATAAATGACTAAATTATTGTGTTCTTTATCATCTCTAACACTATATTATGAAAATTACCGGTAACAATTGTTTTATAGTATACGAGTGTATTGGCACAATGTATTCTTTCCACGTAGAACGCGAGCTCCTACTTGGGAAAGTATTCAGAAAGTATCATATTAACAAGCTAGTTCATTAAAGAAGCTACTTCATTAATTGTTCCTGCAGACTCAGCAGTCGGATCTCTCATAAATGCTGCTAACGCTGCATTTTCATTACATGCATTGTCGCTAGAAATGCTGAAAGAAAGTGGCGAGGGAAATTATTGGTTTTGTTCGCACGTTTATCGTCTGTTCTTATTTTGTTTCTGTTGTGAGGTCTTTTACCTCACCCCCTATGCGCCTTCGTTATATGATCAGTCATTGACCAAGACGTTGTGGATGCAGATTACCGAATCACTCTTGGTGCTGAGGTTCTGAATAGAATATGAACACTTATTAGGTTAGAGATGAATTGATGTAAATTCCAAGATAAATTCGCACGGTTGTTGTCAGTTGTAATTTGAGAGGAGAAGATATGTGTTTCAATTTCCTTGCTGCGATCTCATCGGTCGTTATACCTCAAGTCTCATCACTTTCCTCGATTTTATAATCTTTCTCGTATAAAGTGATTAAAATTTATAATCTAATTAAATGCTCTCTGTCGTTCATCAGAGGTGGAGTTGCCCTCTGCCTGAGCCCACAAGGTAGACGTAACGGCGAGGCTCTCATCAGGTTCCTGACGAGCGAGCACCGCGACATGGCCTTACGACGACACAAGCACCACATGGGCGGCCGCTACATCGAGGTCTACAAAGCTACCGGCGAGGACTTCATATCTGTTGCTGGAGGTCAGTTTTGTGAACTCGGGGCATATTTTTGTATATTTTTTTCACTAACATGCTTAAGTGAAAGGTGTATATCAAAGTCTTCGTTGCTGGAGGTCAGATTTGTAAACTCGGGTTATATTTTGCACATATTTTTTCACTCACTATGTCACTAACATGCTTAAGTGAAAAAGGTGTACTACTATATCGAAGTTTTCGTTGCTGGAGGTAAAATTTGTAAACTCGGGGCATATTTTTGTATCTATTTTTGTATATATTTTTTTACTTATATGCTTAATTAAAAGGTGGTTATCGAAGTCTCCGTTGCTGTAGGTTAGTTATATGCTTCTGAAGCATATTTGTTCATTTACATTTTAGAAACAATTTGATATCGAGCTTTCCGTTGCCGGACATCAGTTACATACACTCAGGACATATATTTGTGGTTGTGTGCTTAAAATGACGTGGATATCGAGGTCTAGTAGACTTCCGCCGACGACTTCTATCACCGTTGCTGGATACCAGTTATTCTACAAAATTAATTTTAATAGTCATTGCGGTAATTGACGGTTATCTTAGCTTTTTTGTTTGTCCATTCACCGCGCGATAACCTTTCTTTCTTGGCAGTATCCGTTTCTTATCTTACTTTAGTTTCTTATTTATAACATATGTACTATCGGAACGTATTCCTGCTGGCATACCGGCTGGTATTGGCTGACAAAACAAAAACCAATTTACTGTATCTTCACTCTCCTCTACATATTTATGGAATGGTTCTAAAGTTTTAAAATGCATTGGCTTTCCACCAATTGGTCACGTTTGCGCTCATCAACTGAAGTGATCATGATGTATCAATACTATTCCTTTATCGATATTCTTGTACGGGAGGAATAAATTGCAAGAATTGATGTATGAATATTATTGCAGCGTCAGTTTTTATCAACTCGTACCTGTTTGCATGGATAGCATTTAAAATTTATTTGTCTCACTGTTCAGTCTACAATTGACCCGATCAGTTTTGGAAAAATTCATATATACGAATTGAATTAATTTTCTCGTGTCTCAAATATATTTTTAGTAACTTTGTACAAATTTGAATTTTAATATTGTCGATCTGTGCGCAATTAGCAATAGTGTTAGTACTGTAATTTTATTAATTTGTAATGTAGTTAGTTCATCAATTCCGAATTGTACGCCCGGTCATTCCTTCATCTACCATTTAGTTAAGAACATCGAATCTAAATCCAATTGAATATTTATGCTCGCTGTTTTAGAAGCATCACATCTCTTCTTTTATTTGATGTGGTCTCTCGTATACAGCAGGCGGGTGCTACAATATATGTATATATGTTGCCATCGTATACAATATTTTCGTCATGTTATGGTATTTTCTCCGCGCATTACACATTCAATTCTATGCGTTTAGTGCTTATTTGTTTGTACTCAATTCCTTACGTTCCCAACCAAGAACAAGTCATATGTTTCGAAGAGATATCGTAAGAATTTTAATATGTTGATTATTTACGTAAAAACTTACGTCGTGATTATTCCTCGTGAATACACGAGGCATTGATAGAATCATTAGTGACAAAGTGTCTTGTATCCGTATTATATTGGTTATTTGCTGTTATCAACAGCTGCGTGTTTACTCGAGTAAGTGGTTCTCTTTTTTGAGATTTCGGGCAGCTCTGCCGATAGGGCCGGCTGACAAAGACAATGTCTCCCTCCATGCCTGCCTTATCTAACTTCCCATCGTCCTGTTTGATCTGGTTTGAAGTATAAAGAAAATGCTTCCCGTCTAAATAATAATTATCGTTTCATTATTTCGGGATTTTTATATTTTCTTTCTTAGCCAATCCCGTTAATTCGGAATTAAAACATTTTTTACTGTATGTATTCAATGCGGTATAGTCAAGCAAATCTTCATATCAATGCCTCTGTTTGATTAGTGCTGATTGTGTCTTTCACGTGCATCTTAGCTCCATCAGAAGTAAATAATATTATACTAGAGATTCGTACAGTGGCCATTTTCTTGCTGTATCTGTTTGTGATGGTTCAGTAAGGTTTCGGTTGTGGTGTGGTATCCTTATTTCAGAAATTACTTCGTGAAAACTACCTCGAGACGACTTTTTATTTCGTCTATTTCAATTATTATATGTCGATCAAACATCTACCACTATATAGACGATATGCGGATTATTAATATTTACCAGTACTCAGTTAAACTATTGACACCTGATAACTATTTACACCTGATACTACATTGATCATCACGAATAAATATTTAATTTTTAATGAGTTAGTGATCATCTTTTTTTTTCTCAGAACGGTTTGTCATTTTTTCTGACAGCTTGCGTCGGGAATGCTGTCCAAGAACTTTCAACGAGTACTTTCACGATTACTAAAGTAATTTAATTTTCCTAACCACTTAGACTTCCAATTGCTGGATACGTCTGCATATTATTATTTCGATTTATTTATTGCTGCTTCTATTTATCAAGATAAGCGACATATCGATTACTAGACCGTTCTCTCATTAGCTATCGTGAGCGATAGTTAATTGATCACCTATCCTAGGTAATAAAAACTCGATAATTCCACTTTTTAGCATCACTATCCGCTATTTTCGATTAAGGTTGATTAGAAATGACGAACTTTACAATTATCCTTAAGGGGACCGGCTACCCTAAAATTTTCAAATGTTGGCGTTTTTCGGTTTTTGTGCTCATCTGAAAGCTGGAATTCTGCTCTTTCCAATGGTACCAATGCCATCGCTGTACGCCAATATTTACGTTCATGACGTCTCTTTAAAGGGAAGCGGGTGGGAGAGTTCTTTAAGTAATTAGATATAAAGTAATTAGCTGCTGAAATCTTTGAATATAGTTTCTACTTGAGTTGTGCTGCAGTTACATGCTTAGTCTCATCTTAAAGCTGACATTCTGAGCTTTCCAACGATACTACTGCGATTCATGTACGGCAATATTGACGCACATGGCCGGGCTTTCATGGGGGGCGGGGGGGTGGAGTTCCTTAACTAAATAGACCTAAGAAAATTACAGCGGCAAGACTACATATCTTGGTGTATCTGGCATCTGAGCTCAGTTACCCTCCTAACATTGTACGTAGAGGTGCGCTACAAGTTGCTGCTAGCATCCTTGAGTGGATTAAGCTACAGAAGTCAGTAGTTTGGTATCCATGCTACATTGAGTGCCTATTTCGAGGCGCACAGGACTTAGTCGCGCCGTCCTGAAAAGTTCAACTTATTGTCACGGAAAACCTATCTCCTCCTACAGTTTTCAAGCTACAGCAATGAGAGTTATATCATTCGATTCGTAAAGACCATATCTATCGACCTAGCCATCGCTTTTTTTGAATTTGTGCATGGTTCGTCTTATATATGGGGAGAAAGGGGGGAGGGGGTGAAAAAATGGGAAAAACGCGCATAAAAAAAACTATGGGGAAAATGAAAAAAAGGGATGGCAGAGTTGATAGGTATGGTCTTTACGAATCTAATGATATGTGTCTCGATATTTTAGGACGATATTTGTGGGAGGAGATGGATTTTCTATAGTACCCGTTATTTGTCCGTTTTCTATGAATATCACGTTTTCTATCAATTTTTTCGAAAAAATAATAGAAGTAAAATGTTATTATTTTTACATTTTACGTATGTATGTGAAGTTTCATGATGATCGGATAATAACTGTAGGAGTTATAGGCTACCTCGGTTTTAGGGTAGCCGGTCCCCTTATAAGTGAAACTTAAAGTGATAATTTCTACAGTAATATTTTTATTCGTAAAGTGTTGGTAGTTATTCTGAACAAATTCTATTACCGACGAACGTGAAACGTAGAATATAATAAGGAAATTTTCGATTACGTTCAGACCATTTTATAATGGTGCTGCACCTCAGACTTGATATCGGACGCGATAACTTATCAGCTTGCTATTAGCATGAGATTATTTGCTGTGTTAGCACTGGTGTCTCATAGTCATTTCCCATGATTACACAAGCCAATTGGTACCACCCTAGTCGGGTACCTGCTCGTTGAGTGGACGCAGATACGTATGGGCACTCTTTGGCTGATGTTCCTGAGAAAGCCAAGTGTGTTTATGAACGGTCCTTGGCTTTTTGATAAGATGGAGAAGCGATATCGCTCGGACTCGCTCGTATCGAGATAAGGTAGAGGCTGCACACCGGCCCTCTTACGTCGTCTGTTTCATTCTGTACGGCTCTAGCGCCGCGTCAATGACGCTACCTATCAGGCGTGTGATGTTAAAATTACGTTGATGTGACGTTGTTTCAACAATAATCTAACAATCAACGTTGTTTCGATGTCATATGACTGGTATATAGCTTGCTTGTCAGTCCGCATAGAATAATTTCGTTTCCGTTTTACTTAATTTGAGGTTCAAAGGTCATAATATCGGCAAAACCTCTCAGCTGTGATCTGTTGTGCCAAACACTTTGGGAAAGCTGAACTTGAACTTTGTGTCATAGGCTCCGTGTTACTTGATAGGAAAGTGAAGCGTGGTGATAACTTCGAAGCTTTATTTTTCTCGCGATGTGTTGTAGCTCTGCTAATGTGCTCCCTAGAACTCAAGAAGGAACTCTACAGCTCTGGAACTAGATTTTTTTATTTTTGTTTTATGGATTTTTCATTTTTGGTTTATAACGGTAATGTTGCACCTTTGCAATGAGCCGTGTTTAAATATTTCCAATAGAGCAACTTTTCCGCCTAGGTTTATACTCGAAATGCGAATGAAGACGATGTTCTTTAGAGTTTAGAATTAGTCAACTAATGTAGCGACAGTAAATTGAGTGTCACGTCATCTATTTACACACGACCGTTCTCATAATTTAATTGGATTTGCATTGTTAGAGTATAATCCAACTAAGCATTTTCGGTCCTTTCTGGATATTGTTTGAAATGTACGGAACCCTGTGTTTTTTTATTAGTGATGAACTTGATTAGATAAGATAATAATTCGCAATTTGTACAATTTGACGCGCTGTTTACTCTCGATTGTAATCGTAATTTTAACACGTTTATTCATTTACATATTTTCCAGTTCTATATTCCACTGAATTTCTTTTCAAATTTGTTTGTTCATCTAAATCGCATTTACTTGTGAAATATCGTGTGGCGATACCTGCATGAAATTCATTAATGGGCAAAGTTCTTTGTAAGGTTCAAACCGTCAGAGATTTTAATTTCCAATCTAATTCATAGCCAAAAATCTTTGGCTACACGTCTTTATATTCACATATCGTATAACTGAAGCGTTGCTTCAAAAATACTGGCTTTTAATTCGGGACAACTTCACGCGACTGGAGATTGAATTTAATTTAAATTATTAATTTTTTTCCTATTCTTGTATTCACGTTTGCTTGTGTGACATACTGAATTTTTTTCTATAATTGGTTTTAAAACTTGTGTTTGAAGCACCTTCTAGCCCGATCTCTGTCGAGGTGTCTGGAAGTGTAAGATTCATCGTTTGATAACTTGCCGGTTCCAATACTGTGAACGTCGGATTCCACGTCATAGGCATAGAAATGCATGCCTAAAATTTGGCTGTTATTCCTGAGCAGGCTGCTGTGCAGGAAGGAAGTAGTGTCACGTCATCTTTTGTTTCAGTGGTACTAGGTTTTGTGGTCACTTTTGAATTTTTATTTTCCGTCAGCTAAGCGAAACTTCGCTGGCAAATTTGCTCGGATTTCGAGACTTAGTGCCAATTGTGTCGATTCGAAATTTTGGAAGCCAGTGTTATTACTTTGAGACATGCAGAACTAAGGGGAACTTGGAAACACATGTGACCGTGACAGTATAATTTTTTTTGGTCTGCGTGATTTATGTCTATCGTGTTTAAGGTTTACTTTGACTTAGAGCGGAACGCGAGCTTACGTTAAACGTCTTTGTGAAGTGTATATACTTTGCCCATTTGAGTCTAGTAGAATCTACTACCGGGAAATGGCCAGCTTTTTAATTTTAACTAAATTCATCTATGTTACTCGTACCAGAGAGATATGACTGAAATTTATTGAGCCATTATTTTCAATTATTCATTTAAATACTAATAGAACAATCCGAATAAGTGGCTCCTATTTATTGCGAAACATGGTTGTAAACTAAAGAACGGGTTATTAGTTCTAATTTCGGTATACCTGAGGCAGGTTATGATAAGATTCGTTTTTGCTTCCCAAATCCGGTTTACGATATCCAAATCCGGTACATCGTCCTAGTGTTCTCTGAACGTAAGTTTTCTATTTGTTGTTAGAATTCGTACATTCAACGCTAAATTTCTACGTCACCTCGTCTTTTCAATATTACGTCAATCTGTGTCTGGCTGAAGAGGGCTCTCGCATCGGCTGATTATTTTTCAAAGCCATAAATTGTATTGTCTTATGAATTACTTTTCATGTTCCGTTATCAACTTGCTTTATGGTTTAAATTATGGACTATTTTATAGCGATTTAGGGCAGCATTTGACAGTTTGAATTTCGTCCAGTTTCAGGTCTGGATACGTAGGTGTGTCCGAGTCGTGTGGTCTAAAATTTCGCGAAGACTATCTGTTAGGATAGTCGTAAAACTAAATTCTTCACTCGGCGGTTTACCTGTCTATAAATTTGAACCAAGGTCATTTGTACAGATAATTATTCGTCCTGTTACGATAGGTTAGTCTTTCTTTGCTAATCAAAACGTGGCTTAGCTTGTCGTGATGCTAAACGGAACTTGTAACATCTAGTCATTGTTGCGATTGCGATTGTTCAAAGAGATGGCAACATAATTTTTCTGAACTGTCATTCCACTTCGATAATCAACCTTTAGAACTAAGAGTTCCGTGTTGTGTCCGGTGTCAGACTAAACGCCGAGTATTCGTTACTGGTATTTTTCAGCGATATATAATCGTTTGTTGGCTGTAGTGCCTTTGACGAAACTCTATGCTCAATTCGTTTTACCTCAGTAATGAACAAATTACATCTTGTTGGCCGACAACTTATTTAATCTTCTCTGAATGTAATTCTCAGTTACATACATTAGAATTTTATTCGTCTCGCTCGTAGTTCAGCAGAACTGTTTCTCGAGTTATCGAGTTCACAGGCTCTCATTTATTTTTGTTGTTGTTTAAACGAATATTTAAGAGTTAATATTTTAAATAACTTTCTGAACATGTTATTCAACTGTCTCATTGTCATCCACAGGTTTATATTTGCACTATTTAAAGTTATTTAGTCGATATTTTTCATTTATATTTCGTAAACCGTAAATAATGGCCGGCGACCGAGAGACTGAAAGCGAATCCTGTGGCAAGAACTCAAGCGGTGGCAACGACAGTGGCTTAGGCGACAGCAACGCTGGTGTCGATATTTCTCTGATCGATAATAACCAAACCTCGTGTACAACAACTTTAAACGACACTAAAGACTCCTTGAACTCAAATGATGTGGATAAAACACATCTCCAGCTGGTACCTGTACGCATAACTGACCATTGCTACAACTCTGACCAAGAGCCTTCTCATTACTCATCAACTTCTAGTATAGATTCCCAGTATAGCAATTCGTATATCAAACGGCCTACGTATCATCATAATGTGCCTCATTTACCTGTCGTTCCGTCTCTTATGCCGGAGCAAATGAGTATGAACATTAAAAAGAATTTGGAATATTGCGCCCAGCAGCAGCGACAACAAATAGAAAATGTTTGGCGTAAGTAATGCAAGAGTTAATCTAATTAATTTGAGTTTCGGGCTCTGAGTCTATTAGAAATTTTAATTGAAACTCGAAAGAAAGAACTACCTTTCAAGAGGTAAAATTTCTGATGGCTATTGCCCAAATTTGTACTAGTAAATAACGGTTGTTTTCTTATAGTATTGAGAAATGATAGTGATGTATTGTAATACTACGGCAATGTCTGCCTGGTAATTGTACTAATAGGACAATGAACAAATTTTTGTAGAAAACTCTAACTCAGGGTCACTTATTTGTACCGTATTAAGCGTTGCTTTTGTAAGAATGAGCCAATGAGTTAATGACGCAGAATACACTTGATAATTTGAACAAGACTTCAGCTATGTCCCATTTAAACACTAATGCCTCCAGTGACCGGTGGCAATTTTTTTTTTTTCAATTGAAAATTTGTGTACGAGGTAAGCGAATCATTTAACCTAGTTTATTCGTGCTCTTCGCGTTGGCTCATTCTGCGTGACTAATACAGGGTGATTCACTGAAAATTCCTGATTTGAAAGCTCAATAAAAAATTAATAGACTTATAATGATATCATTGCAATATCAATTTTTATTCAAAAAGGCATTACCTGAATTTTTGTATACCATACTTTAGTTTTAAGGATGAAATCGGACAAATGACGGCCCCATTGTCAATGCATTCAGTTGGTTGATTTTCGAAGTTGCGTTCAACTCGCTGTACGGGTATATTGAGTTGAATTCGCATATTGACGGGTATGTTGGCGATGGCTTGGCGTATGTTGTTCTTAAAATGAGGTAGGGTTCTTGTACAGTCATTGTCCAAGGAACATACCTTGGACAAATGACTGCATTCACAATTCCACTTGCCATAAATGTGTTCTCCTACGTATCAATCGATTTTCGATCAGGTACCCGACTTGAAGGGCACGCTGCTCACGTGTCCTATGCATAATGGCAACTGACTAGGCGGGACACAAAACTTCATGACCTTGCCTTTCATATGAAATACTCCCTGCCTTTTTCCTACATCTGGCTGCTTGCTCGGAATTTAAAACAGGAAGTTTCCGTGAATCGCCCTGGATGAATTGTGTGTCGTGTATGTTTTACATTATGTCTTTGTTTCTTGCTGGACTTGGTTCGAGTGCATTTTTTTCCTGATTTTGAATTTTAAGTTAGTAATGAAACATGTTTGCAGAAGTCGATGTCTACCTTCCGCACGGAGTCCACGTGCCACTTGAACAAAATCGGAAATTATTTCCTTCACAAATATAATACCTATATTAATGAAAATATAGTATTTCGTCTGTTTTATTAATTCAGATCTTCGCAGTGATTTTGCTTACATCAATAAGACTATTTAAAATCTATCATGCATTTAATTTCCCGTACCGAGTCTTATTGACGTTAACAAATAAACCCATGCGAAATAGTCAATTGATCGCTTCACCTAAGCCGTATATGCCGGAGGTCGTAACCGGTCATTGCAGGTTTTGGCAATGGCAATCTACATTGCACATTGAAATAACTTTACTTTGTAATGGTAATAATTTCATTTCAATGGACGTGACTTATGGTTACAATGGAGGTAACTTTGTAATGACGAGAGCAAAATTATGCTACCGAGATAGAACCAAACCCCTGTTGCGATAGAATGTATTTGATTCAAGAGGATTTAACTCATTTAAATAGATTTATCTCAAGATATTGCAATGTAATTAAGCTGCTATTGAACTGGTCGTAGCTTGAGGGTTTCCATTTGTATCTTTCAGGAAACAACAATGAAGCAACGCAGTTCCTGGCGCGTGGCAATATCATCATTCGTATGCGAGGTCTGCCGTACGATTGCACTGCAAAACAAGTCGTGAGTATCGTTATACTTCTTACGATTGTGTTATGCGAATTCGTTCTTTTTATAATTTCATAAAAATGTATAATCATCATCATCATTTTATCATTTTATAGTTTCATTTCATCCTAATAAAGAAATTTTAAATAAATTTTCTTAAAAATTATCTTGTACCGATTTTTTTTTCTTAATTTTGTCACTATGATCGTTTCGTCTTTGATCGTTTCGTCTTTGATCGTTTCGTCTTTGATCGTTTCGTCTTTGATCGTTTCGTCTTTGATCGTTTCGTCTTTGATCTTCGTCTTTGATCGTTTCGTCTTTGATCGTTTCGTCTTTGATCGTTTCGTCTTTGATCGTTTCGTCTTTGATCGTTTCGTCTTTGATCGTTTCGTTATTGATTGGTCGAGCACCGACGTTCAATTCAGAATTTAATTTGACTTAGCTTTTCATTCGTTCAACAGAAAAAACCGCACCAATAAAATTCAATAGTATAAATTGAAAGGATTCACATAGTTGTTTACTATTTATTTTTTTTATGATTAATTTTTATGTAGTTCTTGGAGGTAAATCGCTATATGACCTCGGATTAATTTAAGGTTTTGTTGAATTCACTTGATATGAATCGTGTTTTTCGTCAATACGAATTGTCAATTCAAGCAAGAATTCCGAATTTATTAAATTCGACAAGTGCGTACTATTTTCCCTTTCATTTCATTAACTAGATGTAACTAGCTGTCTAAGATATCGATAACTTGAGTATAGCTCTGTCTGCACTCAAGCCTTTGATTGTCACTTAAGTGGCATGTGAACTTATGCAACGCGCGCCGTCTTGCCTGCCACTGAACAGAACTAGTGGTCAGGAGTAAATATTATCGTCCTTGGTAGAAGCTTTATGGCCTCAATTAATTAATAAGTGGAACCTTTTGATTAACGATTGAAATCTTATCTTCAATGTATGAAACTTAATTAAAATCTCGCCTTCAGCACAGTTGCGTTTGGTTCTAACAATTGTCCCTTCAATTTGGAGCTAGTATTCATTCATTTTCATCATTAATTTTCGTTTCTTTCATTCGTGAATGTGTCTCGTGTCTTTATTCACATTTTGCGAATTAACTAGAGAATTTTTTTCGTCCATTTATCGAAACTACTCATACTGCTTGAGATTTAAATTTTTTCGCATCGCTAATGCACAATTAGTCGGTTGAGGAAAGTTCGAAGGAGTATTGAGCGAGCTCAGAAATAAATTTAAGTGAATCGGCGTTGAAGAACAGGTCAAGTTAGGCCTGTTACCAATTTCTGTTATATTCTTGACTCGTTTGCTAGAAATTTGAGAACTGACATTTGTACCAGAACTATCCAAGACTGATGTTCAAGCTGTAGTTTTTTAAAAAATTACGTTTGCTCGCAGGTTGACTTCTTCGATTCAGGCGAGAACGCCGTAAAGCTCCTCGACAACGAAGATGGCGTGTTGTTCGTGCGTAAGCCGGACGGGCGAGCCACAGGCGACGCGTTCGTAATGCTGGCTGTAGAAGAGGACGTTCCTAAAGCGCTTACGAAACACCGCGAACTGATCGGCAGCAGGTACATCGAACTCTTCAGGTCTACGTCAGCTGAGGTTAGTCATTACTTTTGTAACAATTATTTTCTATTATTAGAAGTAGTTTTAATATTCTTAGCATTTTTTCGGGTTTCTGATGTAGCAGTCCCAGGCCACGCTAGAGCACCTCCATTATTGACTATTGTAGTGCCTGTTCATTTCGTCTCTGATTCAGTGGTGTTTTACATTGTGTTCCGCCAGAGCTGTTGTCTCCGCATCGTACGCTTTCATTTAAAGTATTATAAAAATATTTTCGTTCAGCTGTAAAGAACGGCCAAAAAATCGGAAGATAAAATCGTTTAGGTTTTAACATGAACTTGGTGAACTTGACATTCGATCGCGTCTCAATGGCTTGTTTTACCTCCACGTCAACATCTTAGTTTAAAGTTTGCATTACCAACCACCAAGAAAATTCTCGCTGCTATTGCCATCGCTTGTTTTCAACAATAACTTTTTTGGTTTTAATAGAAAATTTTCAACTAACAAGGCAATTTTTTAAACAATAACTTTTTTAGCTTGGTAAACGTTTTAACAACAAGGCGTTTGTAACCACTTAAGTGATCCTTAATCTCAGTTACATTCACGGCCGTATTACAATATTGGATTTATTCAAATATTGCTGCTCTTATTCACCCTAAAAAACATGTTACGTGGCTAACTGGCGTAAACGAGGCATATTGAAGGACTAAACGCTTTTAGATATCAGCAAGCTAATTGCTTGTTCAAGTAAGCAAAAGGCATTGTATTGCATTACTGATATGGAATTTATATCATCGAAGATATTATCAGTTCTACAATAAACAGAACCTAGTCCGTTGTTTGCATTTGCCAAATACATTGAGCAGTGGAATTAATGTTCGTATTTAATATTCATAAGTGGTAGAATTAACTAGTATTTTCTAGGTTCCAAATACACGGTGATCGCCGTATGAGGAGACCCGAGCTTCGCTATCGCGATGTTTATCTCCAGGTCCATGTGATAATGACTGATGAGATAATAAGACCCTTAGTGGACTTATCATCTCTGGCCATGGAGCGTGTATCTTCTAACAGCACTCAGAAAAATGGATGGCTCATGTCTAAATAGTGACACTTTCTGCACGTAGCAATGATTCACCCTAATACTGGGTCAGGAAAACCCATATATCATCGCTATTTGCGTGGGTGCATCGCGCAGTGCGTCGTTATTTGGATAAATATTCCTCATTTCTCTGAGTGAGCCATTATTAATTGCGTACCTGTCTATATCATCACACTACTCCTACACAATCTATGACAATCTTGCTCCTTTTTTAAGTACATCAAACGGAAATTATTACATGTTGAGCTCATATTTTTCAAATGGTCAATCGTTTGCATGCAAATAGCTAGAAATCGTTCCAGGTCCTGGTATTATTGATTGTAAAAACGAAGAACCTCCGGGATTTTAGACAAGCATTAAATCTTACAGAAAATTTGACAAGAAACTTATTACGATTCAGACAAGCTAATTTATAAGATTTCGTATTTAATTCAATTTGATAACCGCTCGGAATCTTGTTAAAAAATATCAAGTAGGTTGTAATTGGCATCATAATTTATCATCTAAATTCATCATTGTACGTTGCTTTTGACCATTCTCACTCCGTAGCCAAATAGTGAATCACCATTTGTTGAAGTGTTTACGTCGCGATATTTCTGGTCGCAACCGCGAAAGAAACGATGATTTTACCGCATTCAAAAAAAATTATCCTGGTATATTTTCCTTAAATGCATAAGAAGTTCTAATAACTTTGTCCTCATAATCAAGGATGTATTCTATTGCATCGCTTCTCTTTAATATTAAGTTAATATTATACATTTATACATATTATATATGATTTATATATTGAGCTGGGAGATTGTCACCTGCAGTCGAGCTTCTACAAGAAAACTTGGTCACCATTTCCTCCCTTATCGTTATCAGCAACAACTAATCACCAGCAATTGCGGCATCAATCTCATTATTTTATGACCATAAAGGCACAATATTTTGCTCTGTATTCGATCTTCATTGTTTTATCAGATGTATTCATTGGAATCTGTTTTAATCGTTGATTAATTTCACTGTCGCGAGCTGCTTGGTCATTTCGCCTCAATTATCTTTATCGTTTCTTTTCCTCATTTTGATACTTATTGAATTAGCTATTTTGATTTGATTGAAAACTACTTTATTAAACATCTTTTTGCATTTTCCATGCTCAGTCTGCAGGATGAACGACGTAAGTATGTATGAGAAGCATAATACAGATGTTGGATGTTCTTCGGACAATTATTATGCTCTGCATGCGTGTAACCGAAAAGCTTCAAAATTTAGTTTTTTTAACGCTATGAATTTTTATTGACAAACTATATTTACCGTCACATTATTTCACCAAATTTTCCTGTTAACGGCTTGGTGAAGAGACTTGATTTCTGTCATAATTCAATGCCCTTTAAAACCCTCAAAACACTCGAGTATTTTAGCACGACCCGATGTTTGCTACCAAGCAATACCCTTTCAAACCCTCCACTCATCGAGTTGCCTGACACGGCTGGAGATGTACATATATGACCAGCGGTTAAATTAGAAGTCAGCTGTTCTATTTCACGTGTAGCATTCCTCTACCTACTGTAGCTATTTACCGCCCCAACAACGTGTACTGCCCATTTTTTTTAGCTTGGCCCTGCGGAACGAGTCCACATACTGAACGGTGTAGCAATTGACCTTTCTCACAATCCCTTTCTCATTTGACCTTTCTCACCTTTCAATCCTCTCTCACCTTTCAATTCGTCTCACCTTTCAATCCTTTCTCACCTTTCAATCCTTTCTCACTATCATGACTATCTCGGCAATGATCTTAGTAGTACGTTTGCGATCATTTAATAAGTGTTCATCCACGTTTCACCGCAGTGAAGGCGAAACCTGCATTGATGTTGATCGACGTCGCTTGACTTAGTTAAACATGACTTGTCGAGATTAGATAACATCGGATAAGAGTTAAAGCTTAGACTTTATTGCTAAGTGAATGGGGGATTAATGCAGCTTACTGTCGTGGTTCTCTGCCTGCCTTTAAATTTTTTTTATTCGAGCAGTTGGAATTTGTGTTCTGAACAATTCAGGATCGCCTTTTATTTTTAATGTATTCGCAAGACCACGGATTTTGTTTTCGTGATTACTACTTTAGGGTATCTTTGTGAGTAATAGATCTCATCTTGCATGAATTTTGTAACGTGTTGAATTTGTATTTAACCTTATTTTAGTCGTCTTTTAGATTGTCATTATTCACCGCAATTCATCTTATACATTTTCCTTCTATTCCTCAACTTAACTTCCTTACTTCCTAAAAAAAAACATTGAAAAACACCTTTTTCCAATGCCTTACTGTTAGCCTAAGCTCGTAAGAAAAACCCTAGTCGATGGAAGCAGGCTTTATCTGATTCTGCTAAATGGAAACACATGGCCACTTGGCACTTTCTTGAATTTTTTATCGAAAACAAATCCTTGTGCTAGTGCTATGTTTACACATAAGAGCATGCAATTACATTATCGTCACACTGAAAACCACATTTCCCGATCGCCTTACCGGTTCTCTTGTGCTGGTATTTTTTTGACACGTATAAAAATACGTATAAAACCAATTTATGCGCAAAGGAGCATGTAAATTTACGCATCGCTGCCGTACAGGTTATGAACAGATCGATGGACATCAGACACATGGAGACCCAGCAGCAGCAACAGACGCAACCGCAGCTGCCACCTCTAATAGCGCAGTTACCCACACTGCAGCCACTCCTGACTCAGCAGTCAGCTGTGCCTATGGGCGCCAAGCGCGACTGCATCAGGCTTAGGGGACTGCCGTTTGAGGCTTCCGTGAGTAGAATTAATGTTATCTTATTCCTCTTTTATATCATTCATTATTATAGCAATACAATGTTAAAGCATCGTGAGTTGATATTTTCACTCTTTTTTTTATAATAAGGAAGTTCAACCGGAATTCACGTAATAGCAGTTGCCTCTTTATAATTATAATATTGATAACAATAAATAATAATAAAATAATAATAATTATCTTGTTTGTTGACTTTTGACGGTACTCTAGCTAACTGCAGTACTTTCGCTCCATTATAACTCTTCCTATCACTATTTTCCGTTGAACTCGAATTGAATAAAATATTGAACATTCATGATCTTTATCGAATATTCACAGCCGCTTTGGAAAGTTTGCTGATCTGTCGGAGAAATGATTGTTGGTAGCCAAGTCTCGGCTCCGCAGCGTTTGATCGTTTTTTGAATACCATTTTCTGAAGCCGGAAATATTAAAAAAAGGCTAAACATGAACATTTAATTGTACGTGTGCAGATTGAGAACGTGCTGGACTTCCTGGGTGATTATGCAAAACACATCATCTTCCGTGGCGTACATATGGTCTACACGACGGCTGTGAGTTATTAATTATATTTATTAATTATATATATTATATATATTATATATATCAATTATATTTATTAATCAGATTATTTCATTTATTAGCTGAATTGTCTGTTCAACCTTCCCTGCTAATAATATAGCTCCTCTTACATTCAATTTGGGGTCTTCTAACTGATGAATTTCTAAATTCTTATTCTTAATATTTTGTAACTAATCATTTTTTCATAAATGTCGCCAAAAACCGTGCCTTCTTCCTCATTCTATGTATCCAAAAAGATTCATCTTTGCTAACCATGAATTCCATTTTAAGACCATTCCATTTTCATGAAGTCTTCTGTGTTTTGATTTTGACATATTTGTTATTCGTATTACCAACTTGTCAAGCCTTGGTAATTTTCAGTTTTCACCATCCATCACTTATGAAGATCTTTTTTATTCCCCAATGCATGTGGATCCATGTTGTCCTTTCCATTTACTTCATATTTATCTAATCTCATTCAGCCAAGAAATTATGTTGTCTGAAACCTCATTCATACTCATAAAAATGTTACTTTCTCTAACCATTTGAAGTTGTGTAAAGAGTAACAATATTTTCAGGGCCAGCCTAGCGGCGAAGCATTTATTCAGATGATGAGTGACCACGCGGCGTGGTCATGCGCCACCCACCGCCACAACCGCTACATGCAATTTGGCAAAAAGAATAGATACATAGAAGTGTTTCAGTGCTCAGGCGATGATATGAACTTCGTATTATCGGGCGCCGCTCCCCCAACCTCACAAACTGTAACCTCTGCTCCAGCGCCAGGTCGCTCCATCGTACCCAGTGCAGGCGGTATGTTGGTGTGGGGTAATGCGGCATCCCCAGGTGCTCCCCCACCTCCCCTTATATTACCATCACAACATCCCACACACTTGCAAAATCCTCCACTCGCATCTCTTCCTCCTCCATCACCTACTCCTAATTACCTGCAGCCAATGTCTGCAGCTGCTGCTGCTGCTCATGTTGCAGCTGCTGGTGTTAGACCTTCCTTCACTCCAGGGTTGCCTGCTGGTCTGCAACACACTCTCCTCCCTCCTCCCACTAATGGTATGGCTATGCTTTCTCATCTTCATCCTTCCATGAAAGCGTCATCTCAGGTGCTTCTTCCATCGCCCATGTCGGTGGGACCTCATCGCTCTTCACTTGAGGTTTCGGTTTCCCAGGCTTCTCACTCAGTGTTGTCTTCACTTAAAACCACCGCGGCTTCTCCAACCAGCGCTTTCCCTCCAGGAATGTTTGCTTGCTACCAAGCACCTACTTCTTCCTCGTCGCAAACGCATACGACTGGAATGTTTCTTATCCATCAGCCGAACCCTAAACTGCCGACTCCTCCCAGCAACTTGCCGATATCGCCTCCCCTGCATTTCTTCTCGGCATTCCCTCCTACCGTTTCTGCTGATTCCAACTCGAACAAACCTTCGTCTCAAATGCAGTTGTTGCCGTCCCCTTACCCCAACGCTCTGTCCCATCAACGTCGTCCACCACCCGTGGTTGTAAGCGCTTCCGGCCCATCCGTCGGAGCGCAGTCTGTCACGTCCAAAAGGTCTTACGAAGAAGCTTTTTCTTCCGATCGCGCTTCTGCGTCCGGTTCTTTGCCTGGTGGAGTCAAACGCCCTTCAACGGGCACTTCCTTGCACTCGAGTCTTCCTCCTCGACAGGCAATGCCTATTTTCTCTCAGAGTTCAACCGCCTTTTCCCCGCAGCTTAGCGCCTTTGCGGCCGCAGCCCCTCAGTTTGCTTTCGCTCCGGGCACCTCTTTCACCCCGAGTGCGTCTTTCACTCCAGGAGCTGCCTTCAACCCAGCCCTGACAGCCCCTCCTATGGGAGCATCGATGATTAATGCTTTCTACCCGCCTCCTCTTTATCACCCTATGTGATTGTGTTATCAGCAGATGAACCGCAACACTCGATAGAAAACTGTATGGGATTATTTCATTTAATTCAGTAGTATCTCAATGCGACACAAGTACTGCTGATGGCTTTTGTTGCAGAAGGTTTTCAAATTATCGTTGCTGCTTTTACCTCCATAACGTTGCTGCAACTTTTCCGTAATATATCAGGACTTGTGATGACGTCAATGGCTCAATTTTGTTAATCTTTCTCGTTCTCTCTTTTTTCCTTTTAAACTATCTACCTTCGCTGCGAAACGGGCAGAATGATTGGTTCCACGATTTTTTGGCTCTCATTCTCTCTGAGGTTGAACCATTCGGACCAATATTTGTCTACCATCACTAAATCCTAGCCTAAGTTGACCGCTCTCGCTTTCTGCCTTACTTTTCGGTGCTCATTGAAAAGGCATTTTGATTTGTCGTAAATTTGATGTATTCATTTTGCGAGTTCTCTTACTCGCAACGGTTGAATTTCGTAGTTTCTTTTCCATAATTTCATCTCGCTTGTTATCAATACTTCCTTATTCATCAGTTTATTATGCTGCATATTTTGTAGGCTTACAAATACACCGTTTCCCGAAACTGATTTCATATTTCTTGAAGAACACCACCAATAATCTTACTTTGATTCTACACGCTACGTATTCGCTCCTGCTACTCGTCTGGATATTGTAGCTGCTCAAGCCACACGATCTGTCACACGTCGCATACAACACGTACACTCACGCACGGTGCGCATGAATCCACATTTTCACATTTCGCACTCACATGCCAAGCTCTGGACAGCTCAGTGAAGTGCAATATATGCAGCTTAAGAATGGTCTTGTGCAATTATTTTAGTGTCCTACTAAAAACTTAAGAATGCACACCCTAGCTTAATTTTATTATTATTCAAGTGTCACTTCTGGCCTTCCATTTGAATTATTTTTTGTGTATGTCCCATTCTTTGAAAAATAGATTGACCTCACATTGGATAACGTAATTTTTTTCTATGGTGTAGGAAAATATTCGAAATCTCTGGGAAAAATAAATCGAAATTCTGGTGTCCCGGCTTAAATTGGGTGGCGTGGCAGTGTTCAATTCTCCTGTAAGGAAGCTGTATATCTTGTGTACAAATGTGTGCTTGTCCTTGTTGGTTTTGTCTTTTAGTTTAGTTGCTCTTAAGTTGTGTATCAATATTACATTCCATGAAGAAACTGTTACATTCCATGTATGTTTGCCACCATTTATGTGGAATAATTCATCAGTATGTTAAAACTGATGCTTATCTGCTTAAAAGAATCATTGCAGTCTTCTGAACAGCTTGCGGTTGTCAGCGGCAACGTGGCGTCTAATATTATAAAATAAATACTTATGGAGTTGTAATGGTGTTCTCACTTGAGGTTGGTTTGATCAAAATTCAGTACTTTTTCTCAGATGATAATCATTTCGCTGTTGCATTTTCATTCAAATTTTCCATTATTTATCCTCGATTAACCTTTCGCAGAAACTGCTAAGTTCCCGAAGGATTTAGCGGTTTTGCATTGCATTGTATAAAAAAAGATTGCTTTTCAAAGCGATTTCCATGTCGCATTAGAAAAATCACATCAATTAAATCGCATTAGATTCACATCAATTGATTTTTCTCTTATCAGTTCATTAATCCTTCTCTTTGGGTTGGTTCGTTTTGTCACTTTGATGTGCATGATTTGATTTAGTCGTATCCTCCTAAGTGTATTCATCTTAATTGCTTATTGATTTATTTATTTCAAATTTATCAATGTTCTTTTCCATTGAATTGCAATCCATTTCTGGCATATCAAACCAACCCCAGGTATCCCTTACCAAAACTTGGTTGTGAACCTTTCCCCTCGTGTTAGCATTAAGAGAATAAGATAGAAATACTTGGGATTACTTAGCGCGGCAACCTAAATTTATATGTTGAATCGTAGTATTTAGTATTCGTATTGGTACCGGAGGTAGTAAGGAAATTCAGTATATTATTCATATTGTTTTAAAGAACGCACAACCTTTGCAATTTCACGCTATTATCTTCGTAAATACAATCTGTCATTTTTGTTGCCTGCCTCTAGAAAGATGCGTTTTCTCGCTCAAAATTGCACGAGGCATTGTGTTATGAGTCCCAATCTTAAGGAAATTGATGATTAGAAATTCGCAAGAAAAATTCGTAAACTTTGCGAAGAGAACAATATATTTTTGTCGATGTTGGTGGTGAAATTTCGCTTGATGTACATTCACCGATTCTAAAGGCCCGCGTACATTGTGCCTAAAGCTTCAAGTCTTGAGTATCTTACATGGGGAGAACTGATGAATGAAACGAACTAAGATTTTATTCTTAAGTTCATTTCTTGTTGAAGCCTTTATTTTCTTTAAGTCTTATTTATTCTACATTTTCTCGACACTATTTTTAAGTTGTTGTGGCCAAGCATTCGTAGTGAGAGATTTTTTTTGTAAGTATAATAAGCTACAGTTTATGTCTGTGCCTATTTTTATGTACACTTTATAAAATCTAACCAACACAAAAACCGCTGATCCACGATGCACTGCATATCTAAAATGAATTTTTTCAACTATTTAGAGTTATTACTCATATTCTGTTTTCATTATGAACTTCAAGCGTTAAGTCTGGAGCTGGTAGAGAATATAGACGTTCTAACTATGAGTGCCTGTTTGACCATGACTTCCAGGACGGTATTTCTATAGCTGGAAAATAATTTAAACAATAAATTACTTGGAACGTGACACGCGATTTCTGGGTGCGGCTATCCTTGATACGTGCGGTCTCATGAGCTCGTTCTTTGTACCTTGTTAATGGATTTCAATATCATAGAATTTTGCTTTTTCTCGGTGGTTTATAAAGGTTTACTGACGGCATCAGTATGTTCTGTTTCAGTAATTCACCCCTTCTTCTCTCTTACTCTTGTCTTATAATTTATTCAATCGCAATAACCTTTTTGGTGTTCCCGATCGCTTAAGTGATGTATCTTAAAATCCCTTCTACTTCAACGTTTGATTTCTTCCCGGGTTATTATTATATATTATATAATTCTTATTTCTAATACCTTGGTTCTGCCCTGACCTCTCCTTAGATTTTTCATTCCTTCTTTGAATGTTTCACTTCTTGGTGTTGTTTTGTGAGCTTTTATCTCTCGGTTGTTGTGTGGCGTCTTTATTAATGTTAACTATCAATTCAACGTCACACAATTTCTTCATACGAATGAGATTATATTTATATTCAGTTTTGCATTTATCTACTTGCGTAGTAGACGCTCGTATGAAATTTGAAAGCTAGGAATCGTGAGTCGTTGTCATTATTTCTTTCAAGGTACTTAATTTACCTTATAGGTGGTATTATTTCTATTACCAAATTTTGTATTCACCTCAAGGAAACAGTACTCGAGTTTTATCCTTATTTCCTGAGTTCTTCTGTCTTTCGTTTCGCCTTCGAACTCATTTTCTATTTCTCACTTGGATGATGATGATGATGATGATGAAGGAACTTAGCTGAAATTTTTATTTGCCAAAAAGTTCAGGTCTTGTCAATGAAATGGTTGTTAAGACCATTACGGTATGGTTACGGAATCTAGCAAGGATGGTTGCTTCCTTACCTCTCCCTGGTTTGCCTGAGTCTACATGGTAGTGGTCCCAGTTTTGATATTCTTACATGTCATTGTTAGAGTTTCTCATGGAACCCAGATACTTACTAGGATAACTTTGTTTCCGGTAGCTTCTTAGATTTAAGGGTGTTGTCTTAGCGGGGATGTCATTTTGTATTTGTTGAATTTTCTTATACTCTGATATCTTCCTGCTAAAATTTATTAATAAAGTTTTGCTTCTACATTTTGTGTGTGGTCTTTAAACGAGGTGATTTAATTCTCGGCCCCCACAACCATGGCATCGACGCCATCAGAGGTATGCAATATTCCTATCGCATGTTATTTTCTTAACACTCACCCTCGACTTTATATGCTCTCGAATTTTATTGCAAACTTTTTTGACGTATCTCCCACGTACTGTGCCTATTTTTCATTCTCCATCATGAAAGCACAAACATCATGGTCCGTTACTCGTTTTTTACCATTTCATTGTCGTGTTGATATTTTACAAAAATTGTACGATTTTCTACAATTCGTGAAAACATTTAAATGTTCATTTGAGAGCAAACAGTCCATGGTTAGTGTTGGGTTATAAGGATTTAACCGCCTCGCCTCAACTCGACTCGATTTGCCGCTTTCGTTGCTATGTACTCTTGATTTATCCACCAAATTTAAAATTTTCCACAATGCCAGTAAAAACCAATCTGTGTGTTTAAATTTTTATGTCTCTTGATATCGAGCGTTTTTTTTAGTAATTTTTCCATTATTTATTCCGTTCAGAGGAAACAATTATTTTCTGTTGCTGCATAATTGAGTCGAGAGTAGACCAGGCTAGATGGAAGCCATTATTGACAGCGAGTCTATTATTGGTATAAATTTCAATTATGAAAATATTCTTCAATTATCTCGCATTGGCGTTTCTCTGATCTATATAGGAATATTTCTGAAAAAATTTCGAACTGAAATGGTTCTTTTGACATTCAGAACTTGGCACATAGTGCCAAGTCAGGAAAAAATCATGAACTACTAATTTTACCCTACAAAGCTAGTGCTAAGAAGTTATCATTTGATCACCGAAGCATTGACATGTTAGTTAAAACTTTGAGACTATTGTTGCATCTTTCTACTTGTATATGAATCAATTCAACGTCAGAGAAACACCACGTGTGAAATAATAAACATTTCCATTATTGTCGTATATTAATATTTGAATTGATTATTATTTATTAAAAGTCTCGCTGCCAAGATTGGCGTGTGGGAGTGTCTGGGGCTTGTGGTATCTACCGATGATTTCTGTGCTACACAAAAAAAAAATTTTCGTCATTAAGTACATGTAAATATATTAAACCTAAACTAAATTTGTCAGTCATTAGCAATCGATTTGCTAAAATAACTGCTTTAAATTTTGTTAGGCGAGATCAAAATTCGATTTTAAATATTGTAGTTCTAGTTACCTATCATGTTGACGATGTACGTATGTTCCTTGACGGATTCTTGCGAACTGTCTGAAGTTAATTAATTTATTTCGTTAATGTTAATGGCGTGAGACGGAAATCATCGGTCGTTGGCAAGCATGATTATTCATATAAGTATTTTTTTCGGATGAGGGGTCACGGCTCAGTTCAATAACGGAAGAGGTTCTTTAAGTCCTGCTTATAGGAATTATGCTCAAATCTTATTGAATATTGAGTTATAAAGTACCAAAATATAACTAGGATATTCGCGGAAATTTATTTAGCCCAGATGACATTTATTGTTTGAAATTCGAAGCTATCCTTTCAATTTACAAAATATATATTTTATAATTTTTCCCCATTCTTCTAATGGTCAAGAGTAATTAATTTTTACCTGCTATACGTTACCACTCCGGGCTCATTTGGAATTTCTGGCTGGTATTCTTGTATTGGAGAATTTAACGGGGTAATTCTTTTCATATTCTGATTGGGAAAAGCTTGTGGGCTTCTGTCTATGGCATGTGGGAGGCGATCATGAGATTTGGGTTGTGTGGCAATTGTCTTTCAATCGAACTAAATATCAGAAGGAAATTTTAGCTCTTCGATTCATCACAATTTCACCAACAAAAACTTCCCCTCGCGATGTGATGTATCTTTTCAAAGATAACTGCGGTAAACTTATTAACGGATATCTTATCTTTTCCTAACACCGAATGAATTTATTCATATTTCAAAAAAGCGAACGTAAAGTGATGAATTAGCGCTAAATTAAATTTTTCCGAGATCTGTAAGCACTTTGCTTGTAACGCTATTTAACGAACAAAACTTCTATTTTTATTTGATATACTAGAATCATTCGAACGGTAAATACATCGTTTGCAGAGTTAAATATATACACTAAATCGAAAGACCGAAACCCAAATAGAAAACTTTTTTTCCAATTTAAAGATTGTCCGATAAAAATGAGGTTTCTCATTACAATGGCCAGCTAAGATAGTTTTTGTTTAACTTTATGTAACAATATGTAATCTTCTATTGTTTCTGGTTTCCCCATCACATGCTGTGTGGTCTCACCGCCACTGCTTTGCTGACTGCCGGATTCCCTCGACTGAAATCCGCTACATTTCTGCAAATTCTTCCCTCGTACGCCCCGAACGACTGATGCACCCCGCGTCCACGATGTCCATCTTGATTGAAATGGATTGTATGCAATCCTCTTCCGCTGAAACCAAATTTCACCCCGCTCATCTGTGCCAACATCTGAACATTCTGAAAGAACATACATCATTGGTCTCGTCAATGTTCTATGCCATCAATTGAACTTAACTCATCGTTGAAGAAAATTATTTAAATTTTAATTCACACTTTTTGTCTCAAATTTCAATCTTGAATCTGTCGTGCTAATCGGAACTTGACTATACCTAAAACCCGGCTGTTGGCGCTTCTTCATAATCGTTTAAATCACGAATATGTCGTGCTACTGGATGATACCGAAAACCTGGACGTGGTAATTGATGATACCGAAAACCCGGGCGTTGTTGAATGTTTATTCGTCTTATGGACAGCAGGTAGCGCTTTATTATCCACGTACGGAGCCTACCCTCTGGCCCCCGCGGCGGTTTTCAGTCATACCCTCGCCCCAGCGGCACCCAGACTAGCACCATACCCCACACCCATAGCCACTCCGTACCCTATGTTCTACTGGCCATACCCCAGCCCTCCAGTGTCGCCTACTTCAGCGTACTATTCTTCGCTGCCCCCACACACTATCGTGAGTACTATTTTTTAGCTCTTTATATAATGCATATTAACTGTTAATATAATGTATTTTAACTGTTAACTTAATATAATGCATATTAACTGTTATTAAAGTGGAGTGCTAAATTTTTGTATCCCTCAATGTATTTCATATCAAGTATTCGTGAGTGACAATTTTAGTTTCTATTAAATCGCATTTATAATAACCGTCGCCAATAATATTCGTCTCATAGCCATGATAACGAGAGCTACCGCCGTGAATTGAACAATGTAAATTTTCTAATTTAGAATCACTTTAGCAAGAAAGAACCATGATTTGAAATGAATTTTTTTAACCAACAAAGGGGAGCCCGGTCATAGGTGCCACGATACTTGTTTTGTACTTCTGTGATTTTTTGTTCCATCTTCGACCTATCGCTCACGAGCAAATCACTGAATGTGGTTGTGGGAAAATTTTTGTTTGATTTTTAATCGACTCTCACTCCCAGCTTTGATTGATTTCTCTCCCTATTTACACTCTTTCTTCACCCTAAATTCGTCCCTATATTCCCTATTTTCTAACACGTGTATTCCTCCACGACTCCCAAAATTCGTCCCTATATTCCCTATTTTCTAACACGTGTATTCCACCAGACTCCCAAAATTCGTCCCTATATTCCCTATTTACTAGCACGTGTATTCCCCCAGACTCCCAAAATTGTCCCTATTCTTCGTGTCTTCTAGCACGTGTATTCCCCCAGACTCCCTAAATTCGTCCTTATTCTTCGTATTTTCTAGCACCTGTATTCCCCCAGACTCCCAAAATTTGTCCCTATACTTCGTATTTTCTAGCACGTGTATTCCCCCAGACTCCCAAAATGCGTCCTTATTCTTCGTATTTTCTAACACGTGTATTCCCATAGACCCTATATATTCCCATAGACCCACGTGTATTCCCCTATTTTCCATATTTTTTAGCACGTGTATTCCACAGATCCCGAGCGAATGCATCCCGATTCACGCCCCCGTTGAGCTCACCATGCATCCCGGGGAGGCCGTCGCGACGATGTGAACTGAGGCTGGGGTAACAGTGGCATGTCATCCCTTCCACAAGTGGGATGAAGCTCGGAGGGAAGAGAACTGCCTTCGTTACTACTACTCTGCTGTCCATAGAACGTTTAAATAAAAATATTAACTCTTCAATCCGTTGCTAAGGACTTGAGAATATTACAACATACGTTTCACATAAATTACGCGTTTCTGAAAGATTCAGAGTTTAAGGTGCAATGATAATATAGCCTAATGATATAGTGAAAAATTTCCCAGGCGCACCTCTGTCATATTCGCACTAAATAGATTTTAAGATTACACTTCAATTGATCTAATTATCTTTTTATATAGTAAATAGCACCACATAAGCATTTCACTGCCGCGTGTAGGAGGCTGGATTGGCGTCGGCCCTCTATTACAATAAAAACTTGAAAAATTATCACGAGAGTTGTTCACTTGAATCAATCCTCTAAAGTGAAAGAGGTCTGAATATTAAGCATGAGCATTATTTTGACTATTCCGTTCACACTCGAGCAAAACATTCTTTCCTAGAAATCGTGACATTTATACCTACTTTCCGTGTTCAGTAAAATCAATTCAATATTACAATGCTATATTTACTGGCGGTTGAAGTATCCTGCATATGCTAAAATTCTGTAGATTTTATTATTTAATTTTTAATTAATTTTTTTACTTCAGTGCAATCAAGTCATTTTTTTACATTTATGTTGTTTAATCAGCAAGAAACTACAGTCATCTTTGGTGTAATCTGTTTAAAAAAAAACTTTCAGTTTGGAGATGATTATTTTATAATCATTATTTTTTAAATGAACTTTTGAATGATCTTGAAGCGAATTGATCTGTCGCACGCACACTCGATTCATTCATATTTCGATGAGTTAATCAATTGATGTTAATGAGTAAATGCGTCAGTCATTCTTTCTATTGCTGACGATGAAGTCGCACCGTCCAGAAAAACCGGTTTTCCGGCCACGGGGATTAAATCATTCAAGTTGTAAACAACTGACTTGACAACCGTGCAATTCTACTGGAATTCCTGTAAATGTGTATTTCTGTAAGCGCACTTCTGTCGTTTGCGTCATTTAGTTATTCTCTAGTAATTTTCTAATGGATTCGCCAGCGATAGTATCCCGGATCACTTTATTGTCTAGGATTTTCTCAAAAAGTCGGAAAGACGACATTTTTTTTTTTTGCGCCTAAAGTCTCAATGTTATTTGCGCAGAAATATTCCTAGCCTACTTTTAATGAAGAAATATGTTCCAGAATGCATATAGCTATTATTAGAGGAGTATGAAATGTTTTGTCTATAGGTATTGTTACTTACATGTTCATCTTTTAGGTTGCTTACATTCCTTGAATCAGGACAACTTTTCAGCAACGTCTGTAGCAAAACGTCGAAAATTTAAGATTATAATTCTTGAGACGACTTATTGTTAACGTGATCGAGATCAATCATTGATATTCTCGATCATGACAGCATGATACTCGTGTGCAAACTCGCATGACATTCTGGCGAGTCTTTCTCTTGGAGAAATGTCTTTATCTTGACGAAATATTTTTTTCGAATGTAGCTTGATCAGAGAAGTCTATCTTCTCTTGCATTCTGGCGAATCCTTTTTAAACTTGTCAATCAAACCGCAGTAATGAGACATAATAATCAATTATCAATCAACCGCAATGATAATCAATTAAGAAAACGAAAAGTGAATCTTGTCTCCGGAAATGTCTTTCTCTATTTGAGAATTTGCATTTAGGCCTTTATGTGCCTCATTTCAGTCAATGTTGCGAACCTAGTCAGTGTGAAATACGAATTTTCGAGCATTCGTTTAAAGTTAGAAAGAAACTGTTATTCTAGCAAAGTAAAATTCAACGTTGAACTTTCTAAACCGATAGCGAGAACCGATATTCAGAACGGCACATTAGATAACTTAAGGTTCAACAACTCAAATTCTGGTTCTCATTTGTCAAGACTGCATAACAATAACAGAATGTTTCTGAAAACCATACATTCGCTCGCTGAAGATACCGCTAAAGCTGTGCCGTTCACTTTCAATGAATTTTAATTAGTATCGATACCAAGTGCATCTTAGAGTCGTACTTGCATTAATACTTAGAATGCCTTGGAGCGACGACTTCTCATGTTTTGGTACTGACCACAATTCTTTTCTCTTTCACCGTTATCTCATTTTGCTAATAATTCCCTATCAATGCTGTTACTGACAGTTGCCCAAAATATCATCAGGTTGGCATCCTTTCATGAATTGAGAAATTTTTGAGGTATTGATGCCTATGAATTCGATTTTCTGTTGAGGCAGCAAATAGTTCTTGGCAAGACCTTTAGTTTTACTACAGGGAACATGAATATCTGAACACGGTTATTACGTAACAAGTCGTTGATTTGCTATTTTGTATTTTACTTCTATCTTTGGAAGAAATGCAATGTATCTTAACGGAACATGCATAGAATTTTATTATATCATTTTCACAAGTTGCGAAAGTTAATCCGCTATTGTAACTTGATTGCTGTAAGTTTACTGCATGTATAAGTAATATATTTTTTATTGTTATCGTTGACATATACCACAGTTTATACGTTATAATAACACCGTTCAACTACGTTAGCAATACGAAATTCTATGTTACGCAGATGACCCTAAGTGCATACTTACTCCATTCAATACTCACTAATGTGTTACATGCAGTTTTAACAATTCTACGATTTTTTCACTTGGATGTTGAGATAAGTTCTTGAATTTTCTACAAGAGAGTACCATCAGATTTCTTGTTCAAGGTTAACTTCCAGATAACGTTGTAGGTTTTTTTTAGTTGCGCGAGACAGAGTTTACAAAGATGCACTGATTTTGACGTGCGACCTGTCAGCGAAAATTGAAACCCGCTATATTTCAGATATATTCCCAGCGTTGTCACGAGTAATAGTTTGGCAATGTCCATCACTATATAAGAACTGGAGGCATTTGTTAAATATTAATACTCGTCTCTCCATAGATCACTTGCATACTCTGCACTGTGAATTACTTAGTCATGGCAGCCTTCACTCTTCATATAACGCTGAAATACTCCCAACTTTCCGGCACCGCCGCTTTTCTTGTTAACCCTCTACCGCCGTATGCCACTCTCCGGCAACATGAATTTCAACGTATATTATACGTAAACTATTGAGTGTAGCAACCTGAGGACGTTTGTACGCAACAGAGAACATTTTGAAGTTGTACGTGGCGGCAACCATCAGTGAAAGTCATTTTGCGCTCACTAGAACGTATCCATTTTGGGAAGTAGACTTGTGACAATATTGCTCCGGTTGCTTATGTCAGGCGGTAGAGGGTTAAGAGGTGCTTTTCTTTCAAGAGGTAGAAATATTTCACTTTTGTTAAATAGTTATAATTAGAACGTGTCTCAGATTTAGAGTATGAAGATGTTGCCATTTGGCAAGTTCTTCCTAACCGCTGTGAATCGGTGAGCATCATTGGCATTCATGACTAAAAAGACCTACTCGTTCATATGTATTAATTTACCTAGGATAAAGTTTTCATCAGTTGTGCTAAGTTATATGATCTTTCGACATTTCTGAATTATTACTCTAGACTGCTTGCTTAGAGAATTTCCTATTTAGTGCATTATCAGTTCACCTAAGTTTCGCAGTATGTATGAAAGAATGGCAGCATGTTGAAAGATATAGTATGTGATAAGAGCGCTGTAGAACGAGACGCTGTCTGTAGAGTAAATCGTTGCAAGTGTTCAATAAATCGTAAGCCTATACGTTTTTCATTGGTCACCTCGCCATATTTATCGATGGAAATGTGCGAAGGTGGTTGAAGCTTCAGTACAAGATGTTGCGGAGACACACGGTTAAGTTGGAACCACTTATGCTCTCGTGTCTAAGCAAGTGGAAATGCTATGGCGGTGAAAGCGTGCATTCGAAAATAGTTCAGGCATACTGCACGACATAAAAAAAAACGTTCGTTCTACAGGTTTGTTTTCGCAAGATCGCTTTCGGCTACAATTTCGTAAGGTCCAATTAAATTTGAAGAACTACACGCCGTGAATGCAACAGCTAGTGTTGGGTTCATCGCCGTTTCAACGGCATTGAAACAAATCGAATGACGTACAAATTCTACCGTAATGCTCAAAAGACTAGGGCCTATACTTTAAAAATTCGCTAAGTAAACGTAAGTATTTACGCTCTATTTTCTTGTCTACGATTGGTGGATTTCGCTTGAAAGACCGTCAAAGATTGGCCGATGAACTTACTATATCTTAATTTTTTTTTATAGTATGGGCCAAGGACAATCAGAAGCTTGGTCACGGTGACGCCGTTTATTTAAGCCTTAATGGCGTAGCGTCTCTTGGGGTGGAGCCTCATTTTCCTGAGCTGCTTGGCGCTCTTGATCTTACGCTCGTGTCGCGTCAGGGCCTTGCGGATCTGATGAGTCTTCTTCAGACGCATGTCTAGAGGCTTGTACTTCTTGTTCTGCTCAAAGAAACAAACTTGGTAACTCGAAATTTCAGAGTTAAAGTATGCAAAATCATTAGTTACTTGAACACTAAAAATTATCTATCTTCTAATTTAAATAAATCAATGTCATTCAAATTACGCAAAGAATGTTAGAATCACCAATTAAATGCAGCAGCATTAAAAGAATTAGAAAATGTTTATTAATATTTTTTAGAACTGCAAATCTGCCCAAGTTGCCGTGAAATGAATTCTTACGAAATGGCTAGGGTTTGCAAAGATGTGTTGTAAATAGGTGATAGAGCATTTCAAGGTACCTATGATTAGGCTCCTAGATTCCAAGCCGAATGTACACCAATTATGTACGTGAGGCTTCAACTGACAGGTCGCTTTAAAGTTTGGGGATTATCAAAATAATAACTGGTAAGCAGCTTGATTAACAAACATCCATTATCATGGCAATATATTCGATATTCAACGGCAGTTGTGGCCAGGTCCTCAGTTGTTTCTTTTTCCGCGAGAGCGACTACTAAAACTCCATTAAACTACGGCGTTAAAAAGTTAACCTTACAGCACAAACTGATCATCAGGAGTACCTTATATCGGAAGAAAACAAACTTGAATATTTGTTAAGATCCACGTGAGTATTGTCAATGCTCCGATATTTGTTCAGCTTGAAACATTTGGTGAACGCCCAACCAGTTACAAGCTAAGTATCCCGTCCAGTGAAACCCTTACGTAAATGCCATTCAAGTCGCCACAGCACTTGTGTCTCCGGCCTTCGATACATACGCTCTATTTTGAAAACAAAACTGACCCACAAGTTTCTAACGAGATCTAAATAGCTTTGTAGGTAATGTGACAATCAACCCAATAAATCGTAGTTCAGACCAGTATTTATACATTTTTTTATTTACGTTAGGAATACGCATTCCAAATTCATTGAAATCTGTAGTCAATAACACGGATCTGTTACGAGACACTGTTACGAGGATGAAGTCGCACTAAAAACTTGCAGACATTTCAACTTGATGTCCGCGTTCGACATAAACTGACCTCGTAAAACTTCTTCAAGTTTGCCTTGATGGTCTGCCTGATGACGATGTTGACTGCAGCGATGGATCGACGGACAACACGGCTGCACACAAAATTTTTGAAATGTAGATTAAACAAGTTTTTGAAACTCGTTATAAAAAATTCAAAGATGCAGTAAACTTGTTCTAAAATATCCAAATGCACAACTACTTTATCATCAAATTACAGGTAATGTGGGAAATACAGGTAATGATCATAGAAAATTGTATAACAAGTAAGGCAGCTCCATGAAATTTGCAACACAAATCGAGTTGAGCACAGTTCAGATGAAATAGTTCTCAATTATTGGAAAGTTTTACTTGTTTAGTAATAATTTATACTTCAAGATTGCTATTCATCGGCCCATGGGAATACACTTTCTGTGCAGTTTACGTTACGTGAGCAAGACGACATGATTTGACATAAAATCTGTCTAACAAATCGCATTGATGACATAATATGCAAATGATGAGAAATGTCATCCGAATGCTTAGAATGAATGAGTAGCAATAAACAACCGATGAATGAAGTGAAAAATCTGATGTGCAGCTTTGAAACCGGGAATGCAAATGAGTCATAGTGATAGGTATATAATTTGTCTAGTAATCAACAATTTACATGTATTCTCAACAATTTACATGTAATACAAAATCACATGTATTCTCAGTACCTAAAGAAGCTGGTGAAAATTTCATCAGACCCCATAAACTGCACATTTAAACTCAAGTAAGAATTTTTATCATAACAAGATCTCATATTTTAGATTCATCAATCATCACATATCATAACAAGATCTTGCATTCTAGATTCATCAATCATCACATTATATCATAAGATCTCACATTTTGGAGAGCTTAGATGGCATGCCTCCTGTGACCTGTGCCACTCTGAGGCCAGCCAGCTCCTGCTTGAGTGTGTCCAGTTGCTTGGTGAGCTCATCTTTGGATTTGCCACGCAGGGACTTGCAGTAAACGCGGCCAGTTTGACGAGACATCTGTCAAAATTATAACAAAATTAATACAAGTTTCATTGGGATCATCATTAAAGAAATGGTGTCAATTGAGAGACAAGCCATTTATAGCAAATTCTCACAATAAATATAAACATTAATTTTCAATATTATTAAATGATACAAACAAATTCATAACAAAAAGTAAAAGTTGCAAATGAATTGCTAGAAAATCATGAGCTCAAACCAGCAGTCATGTTGTCCTTAATGAAGGAAAATGAACAGCCTAGGAATGAAAACTGAAAATATGAGGACAATTACTTTGTATTTTTACAGGAACCTTGAAACCTGATACAAGCAAGGGGTTTGTCTAAAACACTTGAATTTGGAGGGCAGCAACAAATTTTACAGTTAGTCTGAAATTATTAATGCATTAAACCATAAGAATTAAACATACTCTACAACCATTCAAACATTATAAATTTATGCACAAACATTACACATCTAATGAATACAGATGTTAGAGGCCACACTGAGAATGATGAGAGAGTTGTATTGTCCAAATAGTGACACTTGCTGCATGTAGCATTGCCACACCCACTTTTCTGGGCCAAACTAAGCCCAGAAAAGTGGGCATGGGTTCCTTATTTTTTCATTTGCTAAACTACAAGCTCATTTACCAAGCCATGCACACATAACACAGGAAATCACGGATTGTACTCTAGAAGTAGAAACAACATTTTCAATAACATTTTCATTTGCTCAAGAGTAATTCAAGTACATGGTAATTTAATTTTCTAAGTCTTGCCAAAGAAACAATGCACCAATGCAGTCATAATGCAGTCGGAAAACTACAACCCCAATTAGAATATTGAGCAGGAGTTTCCAAAAATTGTAGGTCAAAATTATAATTTCAGTGGGGATTCCCAATAATTGCAGGCACATTAGGCCATTTTTTCTTATTTTTTGCTGAGAAAATTTGATGCTGCTAATGGAATAGAGGATATTAGTCAGATTAACAGGCATTTTTGTTCAATTCACAGGTGGCTTCTGCCCAATTTTTTGATTGGGCATAAATTGGGCCAATTTCAGCCATTCCTATGATCTAATCAGGAAGCTGAGCCAGAAAAAATGTGCCATGCGCCATAATGAATAATAGTTTAAACATGGGTGCATGGTAACAATCACAACACAGCCATGCAGCAATGTCTGTAGCGGATTAATAAGGTATATAATTCAATAGTGGTTCCAAAACTTCTTCAGGCTGGCAGCCCCTTGGTGCTCTAGTGAATTTCTAGCACACCCCTACAGACAAATAAAATTAAAACATACACCTCTTTCTCGATATTTAGTGCACTGCAATTTTAAAAGAGAAAGGTAGAACACATATGTGAATTTCACAAAAAGAACCCCATTTAGTAAACCAATAGGTTTTTCAGCTGCAACTCGCAAAATAGCCTGTATTCCAGTGATAGGACTCGTTCAAACTTGAATAACTTTAGTTTCAGACAAGACAGCAAGATGAGGGCTAGTGCGCTGCTCTTGTCTAAGCAAGTTCTACAAGCTTCTGACATAAAAACTGTGAGCCTCCATTGGTGCACATTGCCTGGAATGGAAACTTTCATCTTTCTAGGCAACGTGTGCCATAAGAGGTACACAGCATTTATTATACAACTATAATAAAAATGAAAAATGTGCATCACACAGGTACTAACGCTTGAAAAAAAACTTTTCTGTGCAAATATAATTGGAATGTAACTGCATTACTCAACCTACAAATCATTCTGGGGTAAAATGCTGCTAAGTGAGAAGTTTATAATTCATTTAAATGATGTCTTACAGAACTGCTCTAAGCAAAGCATGATGTGGTACCAACAACTGTTCAAGTTATTGGCAAAAACTGCTGTAGCAAATGCGTGGATGCATGGTGATCAGTTCTATAGTCAGTAAAAATCGATGTGAATCACTGAAATTGTTGAAGATTACTGAATGTATTGTCACTAGCAATAGGTCAGACACATGAAGAAATGTTTCTATAACCAAATCACAATGATTTTAGATGTTTGCGTTCCAGCGCTAAAGTATTTGAAGCTGAGGATCTGAACTTCATGTCGTGATGAGCTACTGATCTTTACATCTCGCTTTTACATAATTGCAAAAAAAGGAAGTTAACTAGTTAGTGCTAATTTGAGACAGAAAGCAAGAAAAGTAACTATTAATTGCTAGCCCAGTGCTTGGAATCCGTATCACTGTTTATCTTGCTTTTTAGAGTGTCATTCTGTTTCTGTGTAAGCTTAGGCAACTTTCAAATTACTAATATCTTTTTCTACTGCTATAATCCATACCAATACCGAAAAAATAATTTTCAACATATTGGAACAGGATAACACCCTTTATTTAATATTTTTTTATGTACCCACTCATTATTTCAGGCTAGATTTCAACTACTAAGGGGAAGTGTGGTAAGGTAAACCAGGGTAAACTGATCATACTGAACCATTCAAGAGAGGAAGAGCTCGAAACTGAGGAGATGTTTCGGGGGGTTTTGCCAACACTAAAAGTTGTTCCCGCCCATAAGTCACTTTTACTGGGTGCCCCACTCCACGAGGAGGGCCTCTCCGCCATTATCCGGGAGAAGCAGGAGGGCTTGGAGAGGATGGTGGAGTGTTTAAAATTAATTGATAGTCATCAAGCATTTACGCTTTTAAAGAATTGTTTTGCTCTACCTAAACTCCAATACGTCCTATGTGCGTCTCCTGCATATACGCGGGTAGGTGATTATGAGTGGTTCGATGAGGTGTTGGTTTCTGCCCTCTCGACCATCACCAATGTCAGCTTCGAGCGCAAATCTCTTGAACAAGCTGTGTTACCGGTCCGGCTGGGAGGTCTGGGTATCCGTATGTCAAAGTACATCGCGCTCCCTGTGTACATATTGTCACTTCACTCCGTCGGTGTCCTAGTTGATGCTGTTTTACATAATGTACCACTGGCCGAGGACAACAGTTTGCAGATGGCGGTGGATGAGTGGCGCAATGGGAACTCAGGTATTGCTTTGCCCGAGGACGCAAGTTTGGGCCGGCAGAGGACTTGGGATGGGCCTGTGACCACGGCCTCCGCAGCGCGGCTTTTGGAAGTGGCGGACCAAATATCCAGGGCTCATCTACTTGCAGCGGCAAAGAGAGAGTGGCTTGTGACTTCACGCTATTCCTTCGGATGCTCTTGGAACACTTCTAGATCCCGACTCCTTCCGCGTCTCAATTGCTCTTCGAGTTGGCGCAAATGTATGCAAACCCCACACTTTTCGGCGCGGAAAGCAGATGGATGCACAAGGACTGCATGGCCTTTCTTGTAAGTACAGCGCTGAGCGACATCCAAACACTCAGCTCTGAACGATGTGATCAGGAGGGCTCTTCAGAGCGCTGGCGTTCCTTCATGCCTTGAACCCGTTGGGAGTGGACAGAGGGAATGGTAAGAGACCAGATGGCTTAACGGTTTTCCCATTTTCTAATGGGAGCTGTTTGTGCTGGGATGCAACCTGCGTTGACACTTTTGCTGAATCGCACGTCAACAATTTGGCTATTTCTGCTGGCTGGGTTCGCGGCTCGTGCGGCGGAGGATAGCAAGAGACGTAAATACGCAGCATTAGCAGCTCGGTATCGTTTCGAGCCAGTCACATTAGGAACGACAGGCACATATGGTGAAACGACCTTTAATATCACAGATTGACCGTCGCATTACGGAATTGTCTGGCAAACGTAGAGACTTTATGGTTGGAGCAAAGGTTGGGTTTGGCTGTGCAGAGAGGCAATGCAGCTAGCATCCTAACGGCAGTCAGAGAAAAGTTTGACATGGGCCCGCTCCTCGCTCGCGTCACAGCTCAGTGACCCTCGGAGTCGGTGTAGGCCACCATCAGAGGCGTTAAGGTCGGGGCCCTGATCATAGACATGAAACCATTCCCTGTTTTTAATTAATAATATTAATTCCTTTTGTTGGAATGGTGAGTGTGGGAGGCCTTTATAAAAAAAAACTACCAAGATTCTTATGATTCAATTGCACGATGTTCGTATAGGGTAAACACACCATATTCCGAACACTGTGGGTAATTCCAACACCCCTCACCTTTTCCTTTATATTAAGCTTGGTCTTAGTTCCACGCATGCGTAGATGGTTGAAATAGTGACGTCGTACTATTACGCGCAAGATTTACGCAAAACACTAGGTCTCGCGGAAAATGTTAAGATCTGCAAAGCCAAAGGCCAAGGCAGCTTAGTGAGAACATCAACACATGTATGAAAGTTGATAGTTGACCTTGCTTAAATAAATAGTGATAAACTGTTAGTGTAGAAAGAATATTATGGTTTGAGACTTTTAAATAAGCCTGTGAATATATTAGGAATCCTTTAAGTATACTTGTATTTGCTGATTTTATGTGGTAAATGAATTAATAGTAGATGATTGATTCAAGAGACAGTTTTAGACACATAAAAACTAGGTAATTCTGACACAGGGTGTTGGAATTCCAACACTGTTGGAATTACGAATTACAAATTTGAAGTGCTGTTGCCTGTCAAAATTAGTCTCACAATATGCCACATCTAGTCACACACAGTGTCGGAATTCAGCGATTTTATATATTTGAATTCTAAAGGCTTTTAAATAAACATGGCAACAGTTTGTGACATTTCATCATGATCATTGCTGGTGCATAGAGTGGTGTTTTGAGAGTGACATAAACCAATCAGAACTTGAGTTACGCATACGGTGATATATTTATAGCCATATATTTCTTGCTACGTTTCATCATTGCTGGTGCATAGTGTGGTGTTTTGAGAGTGACATAAACCAATCAGAGCTCATGTTGCGCATACGGTGATCTATTTATAGCCATTTATTTCTTGTTACATCCTTAAGGTGGGGGGATGGGTCATGGGTGACAGGGTGAGTAGGGGGGGTGGGTAATTGGGGGTATGGGCAAAGGTAGGGGATGGGTGAAATCTGAATATGGTGTGTTTGCCCTAGGTTTTTGAAAACATTGTTGTCAATTATCTATCATATTCTTCACAAGTTTATGATCTGGCTGTGGCTGATATTTTAATGAGCGTTTAAAAAAATAAATTTTTTAGGCGTGCGCCATATAGTATGGTGCACGTCGCAGTTTGGGACATGCATGCGTGTAGCATATATGGTGCACATCGAAGTCAAAGTGTTAATAATATTAACCGCCATAGTGCAGTGGCACAACAGAGATTTTTTAGAATCAGTTCATTTTTAATATCCTTATCTACTCAATATTTAAACCAATATCTAACTCATGTATGAACAGTATGATAATACTGGTAGCCTAGCTATCCATGATAGCCTACTTTGCTGGTCTACTTGCTTAGACTAGAGGACTTTAAATTGAACTTGAGAAATTCTAAAATAAGTACCTACTCCTTGCTTTGCCAGTGAAAATTGCCACTGTGAACTAACAGCCATTCCTTCAAATTTCAATGCCACCCTGTTAAATAAAAGTTTATAGGGTACACATTACACTTTTGACTTTACAGTAGAATTGCTTTCAAACCCCTGACAATTATGAAGCCATACGGCATAAACACGGGCAAAAGTTCAATACTGGTAAACTGGGCTAGCAACTTTGATTCAAACCAAGTTTGATAAAATTTAATAAAAAAAATTATGACCATAAACGGATAGCTAACAAGTAGCCAACCTGACAGTCTGACAGTTACCTAACAAGATTTCCTTAACTTCAAGTTTCAGTCCATAAGTTTTATGTGATCCATCATCATCCATAGTCCTAGGTATGGACTATGGAGGATAGGTACAGGTCTTGCGTTCTCTGTACTAATATCTTCCTAGCACGTAGCATAGCGGTCTTAGCGTTTATTAGGCCGTAGGCCTGTCGCCATCAATTTTTTTATTGTAGCATTTAGTTTCACTCGCTGCCAAAGGACTCGTTTGTCCTGAAACAAACAGTTTCTAAGATGTTTTGAATTTGAGAACATGGGAAAATGGTCTATGATAGAGCTAAGGCTGGATGTAAGAAGTTAAATTTGAAGGTGCAAAAAAGAATATAATACCCTATTTCATTGAATGATCACAACACGTGTAATAATTATTAAATTAATCCCAATGCTTACTTTATTTATAATATGAAGACGAGATTCGCCACCATACACAGCACTAACATTCAAAGAAAACCAATTAGAAAACTAAGAAAATGTTGCCACAAGTCAAGAGGTAATATACAGTCGTGCATAAGTAAGTACAGAATTGCATTGCTGATAAATATATTGTAAAATTTCTTAGCATTAGCAAATTATTTCTCTTTGTAATTCCTTATTTTTTTAATTTTGATCATATTAGGCAAGTTCATTCGTATTTCGAATAAAATTGCTTTAAGTTTATCAAATTTATATCTAAACCACATAAGCTAAAAGAAATTGATCAGAAAATTTGTATTTCCTTTTATAAATTCGCAGTCATTAGTAAGGTTATACATATGTAATTTTGCACTACACTTGCCTGAATCCAACTGATCAAATTGATTCAATTAATACATAATACTTTAAGACATCATGTGACACAAATCCAACACTCAATCGACAATTCTACGGACCCGCCTGCGGACTCGCGCAAATGGGACACTCATATAATTCCTTAAATACTTAACGGATCTGCATGAATTTTGGAATGTGGGTATTAATTATTGATACGCTTCCGCAGGAATTATTACAGATTTTTACATCAATTATTTTTTAAATAAAACCAATAAACGTATATTTTAAGCAACTGAGACACTCATAATTCCTTCAATACTTAACGGATCTGTATGAATTTTTGAATGTGAGTATTAATTATCGATACGCTGCCGCAGGAATTATTACAGATTTTTACATGAAATATTTTCTAATTAAAACCAATAAACATATTTTTTAAGCAACTGGGACACTCATAATTCCTTCGATACTTGATGGATCTGTATGAATTTTTGAATGTGAGTATTAATTTTCGATACGCTGCCGCAGGAATTATTACAGATTTTTACATGACTTATTATTAGGTTAGGTTAGGTTGGGTTAAGTTAGGTTAGGTAAGGTTAGGTTAAGTTAGGTTAGGTTAGGAAATAATTCATGTAAAAATTTGTAATAATTCCTGCGGACGTGTATCGATAATTAATACTCACATTCAAAAATTCATACTGATCCTTTGAGTATTGAAGGAATTATGAGTGTCTCAGTTGCTTAAAAAATACGTTTATTGGTTTTAATTAAAAAAGAATTCATGTAAAAATCTGTAATAATTCCTGCGGCAGCGCATCGATAATTAATTCACATTCCAAAATTCATTCAGATCCGTTAAGTATTGAAGAAATTATGAGTGTCCCAGTTGCGCGAGTCCGCAGGCGAGTTCGCAGGCGGGTCCGTAGATTTGTCGATTGAGTATTGTATTGTTGCTAATATTTTGTATTGCGAATTCTGGCCGGATAGAATTTGACCAGAGAGCATCTCTGACAATTTTCCAGCCAGTCTGGCGGCTATAGCCCAAAAATTCTTGGATAGAACTCAATGAATTGTCGATTGAGTAGGATTGAGTTTGGGGAGAGGACTTCTGCTTATCATATGAGTTGCAGCATGAGGTTATAATAGTGAAGTCCCGGATAAGCGTTGAGAGATGCAGGAGGCACAAGAAATTGATTTGTATCAAAGTTCACGACTGATATACAGTTACCCTCCTCTGTTACACATAAATAATGGGCCAGGAGAAATGTTCTCTAGGTCTGCCAAATTAGTCTGGGTAAGGTCTAATGATGCCTCTAGAGGGTGGAGATACACATGAGTGACAAATTTAACTTGTCTAGTTCAAGAACACTTATTGATGTTGGACGAATGTGCTCATGGTATAGGAGAAAAAGATAAATTGGATACTTACTTGGTTTACAGTCCGGTGCAGCATTGTCAAAAACGCGCAAGAGTTTTCAACGGCGGGAGCCAATCACCGACGTTTTTAGCGCATTTCTCATTTAGGGAAAAAATGCACTATTGTGCTCGTCATGTCCGTCTGTCTGTCTGTCCGTCCGTCTGTCTGTCTGTCCGTCCGTCCTTGACCTCAAGTTTTCGTCGACGAGAAAATGCGCTCTCTGTCACTCACTGCAGTAAGTACTGAGTTATATTTTTTAAGCTATGCGCGCAAATCACAGACGAGAAATAGGCCGCTATATGTACGTGTACTTAGACCGCTACGTGTACTTACGCGAGTTAGGATAGTACAACTCCAGATCAGAGCGGATTATGTCTGAAGGCTTATAGTGCGGTTTTCTTCTATGGAGATCAACTCTCGGTTGTCACAGAAATTACTTTTTTTACCCTTTTTACGAAATTAAACCATCAAATAGTGTAATTTGAGCCAGAATGTATTCCTAAGGTGAAAGCAAGCAGGGACTTGTCTTCTATTTTTGTGAATTGTGTATTCAAAAATCCTATTCGCGTTCGGGGTGGGATGGGTAAGTTTTAGTTAAATAGGCACACATCTTGGACCAAGTATTGAGCAGAAGATTTTTTCTGTATCAATGAAAGAGATTCTGATGAACGCATTTGCAGCTCAATGATCAGGGTAGATAAAATTGTATTTTATTATGGATACGCAATATATACAAGGTAATAAGGGGTTAAGATTGCAATTGGAATCGGGTGCGTGCTGACCTCCAGTCACGACCTTTATCGGTCACACACGCTGCATAAAAGCTCTTTTAAAAGCGTCAACAAATTAAAAGTTCACACTCGTATGTTAACAAAAAACTCAATTAAAACGTATTCCCAGCAATCCTAACTAAAAACTAAAACATTACGTTATGCAACGTCTTAAAAAAAAGAAACAACGTACTAAAACATGGATGGAGTGAAAACCCTAAACAGATGGAGTGAAAAAAATCAATCACACAGCGCCATATTACATATATTCTAATCATCTTTATGTATTTTTTTGTTCTTAATCCGGATGAGCCAGTAGCCGAATCTTGCATTTAGTTTTTTTTTCAGGATCATTGAATGCATAGTATTGCAATTTTATATCACAGTAAAATTACTAAGGTAGAAAAATGGATGGATCAAATAGCCCTAATAGTGACACACTTCCTTATCCTTAACCACAACACGAGCAGATAGCGAACGTAGCATTGCTAGGTCAAACTGGGTCAAGATGCCCCACACAAAGGCGAAAAGTGCATTAGTATTTGGACAAAGTCTCATGCTTCTCTGAACGCATGCTTCTCCAGCATCTATAAAATTCTCTGTATATGAGTGATGCGCTTCTTTGATACCTAAATTAAAGCACGAGTTCTTAGAAAATTGATGATAGAGGCGAATTATTGAGTAAAAATATGAAGATTGATCAGAAATTGTCGAAATAGAAGATACAAAGCAAAGAGTATAAAAGTAATACGCACTCTTCTACTCTATACTTATGTCAATAGTTTATGGTAATCTCTTACAATGCTTTACATTTTTGCAACTTCGTCGTCCAAATTTTCTTCTCAGTAGTTCCCATGATTCGATGTGAATGTGACAAATATTTTTCGAAAAATATCATGCGTTCCTAAAGTGGAATAAAATATATAGAATAATTTGGACCGAATAGTGCATTCTATTTTTCCCCAAATATTTCTTCTAATATACCCGCTCTAAGGCCATAATCAGTAGGGCCGCATAGGGGCCTCTGAAAAATATCGATGTCCTTATTGAAAACGAACAGTGCATGTGCGAACTACAGGGTGCGCCACAGAAACTTACTTATTTAAAGGTCAATAAAAACAAAAGTACTTCAGTTATTGTTTTAAATTTTTTTTATTTGAGAAAACAGTATCCCAAATTTTTTTTCATACAGTTTTGAAAATTAAATCTCATAAATGACGGCCTCCATTGCGCATAAACTAATGAAGTCGCTTTTTTCATAATAGTTTCCACTCTATGCAGCATATCAATCGGTATTTTGGCAATGACGTCGCGAATGTTGTTCTTGAGGTGTGCTATGGTCCGTGGTCGATTGACATAAACCAGAAATTTCAAATTTCCCCATAAAAAGAAATCGCATGGAGTCAAACCTGGAGAGCGTGGCGGCCATTGGAGATCGCCTCTGAGAGAGATGATCGAGGCGGTCGGGGAAATGTTGTCGCAACAAATTCATCGAGTCTCGTGCTGTGTGTGCTGTGGCTCCATCTTGCTGAAACCACACGTTCCTAAAGTTCATTTCTTCGAGTCTTGGAGAAAAAGTTCCTCGATCATGTTCCTGTAACGAGCTCCATTACCGGTAACTGCGCGTTCGTTTTCTTAAAAAAATAAGGACCAATTATTCCCATTACCGACGTCGCACACCAGACAGTAACTCGCTCACAGTTAAGTGGCTTCTGGTGAAACTCACGTGGATTTACACCACACCAATAACGCATGTTTAGCCTGTTGACGCAGCCGGAAATGTGGAAGTGAGCCTCGCCACTGAAAAAAACGTCCGCGTCTTCAGGCAGGTTGTCAACCAGCATTTTACATTTATTTTGAGGGGCAACAAAATCGCGTTCAGTTAATTCTTGCACTACAGCAAATTTATTTGAGAAACTTTGAGAAACAAACTTGGGAACTTTTCCCTTCAGATGCACCCCCTCTCGCCCCTCTACCCGACCAACTAACCGCACAGGAATTTTTTCTAATAAGTAAGTTTCTGTGGCGCACCTGTATTAAGAGAGCAGTTTGAAAAAGTATTCAGCAGCCGCCGATACTCAAGACAGGAGAACGAAATTGGTGCGCTTCAAGAACTGCCAGTTTTGTTCAATAGTGCAATAATTCATTGATCTGAGCTCTAACTTGTATATTATTGAGATTCATGGGAAAATATACAGCCGCTCACGATTGAATTGTTTCGTGTCGCTCATCATTATTTCGTTTCCCTTAAATTTGTCTCACCTTGCAGAGGTATGCGAAAGTTATTAAATGAGACTTCACATAGCTTTATTTATTTGCAATAATGCTTGGATTTAATTTCGGAATCTTGGTTTTTGCTTTGGTTTTCTCCTACGTGTTTTAAAAGATTTGCTCATGCAAGTAATCGTTTTATTGAGCAACACGTGGAAAACTTGCTGATTTTCGTCAGCGCCTGTAGTCAGTCATTATTGTTGTAGTTAGGCCAAAAATTCTTTCTTTACGCAAATGTGGTTGAGGACCAGAGAATGCTTTTT